GCTTGTACACTAAAATCTGTAAAATACTATTCAAAGATTTAAATAAATGGAAAGACATCCCATGATCAGAGATTGGAAGACTTAATGTCATTATCATAACACTCCCCAAATTGGTCTACAAATTCAACACAATCACCATCAAAATCTCAGCTAATTTTTTTGACAAGCTAATCCTAAAATTCTTATGGAAATGCAATACACCCAGAACAGCCAATCTTTGAAAAAAAAAATTTATTCTATTTCCAATTAAAATGTAATACTACCAAATCCTTACTTACTCAATTTTATATCTATTTTACACTAAAAACCTTGGTTCCTATCACTGACATAAGTACATGTGTTTTATCTTATAAATAGTGGCAAAATACCAAAACCAATATAATGAATAACAAAATGACTTCATGTGATTTTTTTTTTAAGATTTCTTTCCTGCTTCTCCTTTTTTGATATACAGACCATTAGGATGTACAATCAAAATATGATGACTTAGGGGTGGGAACTTTGCCTTGTAGTTGTCAGTTACGCTGCCTGCGTTCCCTGTGAGAGGGCCTGGGTCCAGCTCCCAGTTCCAGCTTCCTACCACTGCAGAGTCTGGAAGACAGCGGGCAGTGGCTCTCATAGCTGGGTCCCTGTCTGGAAGATCCAGACTGAGTTCTCAACTCCTGGCTCAGGCTCAGCCCAGTACTGGCCACTGCAGGCACTGCAGAGTAAGCCAGTAGAGGGGTCTCTAAATCTCTGCCTTTGTCTGAATAAAAAACGAATTTTAAAAAATTTTTATAAAACATGATTTAAAGATATTGAAAACGGATTTCTCCGTGGTTGTCCCATGAACGCAGGTTCATTTATTTTTAATGTTTAAGTATTGCTTTGCTTTTTCCTTTAAAAAAAAAATCAGTTCATTTGTTTGAAAGAGAGAGAGAGAGCTCTTCCATCCCAAATGGCCGCAACAGCCCAGGCTGAACCAGACTGAAGCCAGGAGACATGAACCCCATCCGGCCTCCCGCAGTGGCGTGGCAGGGGCTCAGTTCCTTCAGTCATCATCTGCTGGTTCCCAGGCTCCTAGAAGGGAGCTGGACCAGAAGCGGAGCAGCCAGAACCTGAATCAGCACTCCAGCACAGATGGGGGCGGCTTAACCCATCCCACCAAAACACACCCATTTTTCCTTTGGATCTTTTTTTTCAATTATATAAAATGCAATTCTAAATTATAAACAAGGAACACTTGGGTAATTCTTAACTTCTATTCCTAACCTCTCTATCCAGTTAGTACTTCCCCCCAAAAGTGAACAAGCATTACTTTTGGAAGTTTCTTTCCATTGCTTTTTGAAAGCATAAGGAAATATAGGCACACACATGACTTCCTTCATTCCCTACATTACCAGTAGTACCACAGCACCCTGTCCACACCCTGCTCTTTCATGTACCAGTATATCCTGGAGATTACTCCAGGGGAGCATACAGATCCTTCTCCATGTTTTTATAGCTGCAGTAATAGTAATCCATTTTGCAGGTACACCACAGTTTATGCAACCAGGCCCCTCTGACGGGCATTTGAATTGTTTTTAGTTTTGCCATTATGAACACTGCTGTAATAAGTAACCTTCTGTGTGCTTTTATATTTTTTGCCAATGATTGCTCAGGATAGAATCCTAGAAGTGGGACTGCTGATCAAAGGGTAAATACACACATCATTTTGCTAAATATTGCTCCCTTCTCCATAGGGGTTGTATCATTTGTACTTTTTCACTAATTTGTCTCTTCCATTCTTGTCCACCTACAATTCATTCTCCCTATCTTGTAAAAGGAGTCATATGATCCTGTTTAATCCTTCAGTGGCTTCCTATTGCATTTAGAATAAAATCCAATCTCTTCATAGTACCTGCGAAAACTTAAATGACTACTGCCTCTGTAGCAAGTTAAAATTAGATTTGAGCAACAGAGACCCAAAATAATAATAGCTTAAACTAGAGAGTTTACCTCTCAGACATATCAGTCTGGAGGCCATCCAAGGCTTGCGCTGGCATTCAGCTTTAAGTCCTCAGGGCACACACTCATCTCAGCCACGCTCTGTGACCCCTAGGACCTGACCCTCACCCATGTGACCTAAGAGAGCAGCCAGAGTACCAATCATTACATCAATGTTTCAGGCAGCAAACTGGGAAGAGAGAATAGAAGGCACAGGGCATCCATGCCTAGAAGCTCTCTCTGATACTTTCATGTTTATCCCAAGGGTCAGAACGTATTCATAGGACTATACCTACCCATAAGAAAGGCTGGAAAGTATCATCCCTATTCTGGACAGCTAGGTGCCCCCTGGCCAAAAACTGGGAGATAGCAATGCAAGGGGAGAAGTCTCTGCTGCACAACCTCCCAATGTCATCTGTATTAGTCTACGCACCCTCATTCACCATACTCCAACCACAGACTTCCTTGGTTCTGCAAATAGGCCAAATTCTTACCTATCTCAAGGCCTTTGTTCCTGGACCCCCACTGTGGCATAGCAGGTAAAGCCATCATCTGCAATGTCAGCATCCCATATGGGCGCCAGTTCATGTCCCAGCTGCTCCTTTTCCAATCCAGCTCCCTGCTCATGGCCCAAGTGCTTGGGCCCCTGCCCTCATGTGAGACCCTAATGAGGTTCCTGGCTCCTGGCTTCAGGCTGGCCCAGCCCTGACTGGTGCAGCCATCTGGAGAGTGAATCAGCAGATAGAAGATCTCTCGCTGCCTGTGCCACGGCTCAATAGGCTAATCCTCTGCCTGCAGCTCCAGCACCCCGGGTTCTAGTCCCGGTCGGGGTGCCAGATTCTGTCCCGGTTGCTCCTCTTCCTGTCCAGCTCTCTGCTGTGTCCAGGGAGTGCAGTGGAGGATGGCCCAAGTCCTTGGGCCCTGCACCCCATGGGAGACCAGGAAGAAGCACCTGGCTCCTCATCAGCGCGGTGCGCCAGCTGCAGCGGCCATTGGAGGGTGAACCAACGGCAAAGGAAGACCTTTCTCTCTGTGTCTCCCTCTCTCACTGTCCACTCTTTCAAAAAAAAAAAAAAAATCTCTCTCTCCCCCTCTCTGTCTTTCAAATAAATAAAACTTTAAAGAAAAAAAGGGCCGGCGCCGTGGCTCACTAGGCTAATCCTCTGCCTAGCGGCACCGGCACACCAGGTTCTAGTCCCGGTCGGGGCGCCGGATTCTGTCCCGGTTGCCCCTCTTCCAGGCCAGCTCTCTGCTGTGGCCCGGGAGTGCAGTCGAGGATGGCCCTAGTGCTTGGGCCCTGCCCAAGGAGACCAGGATAAGTACCTGGCTCCTGCCATCGGATCAGCGTGGTGTGCCGGCCGCGGTGGCCATTGGAGGGTGAACCAATGGCAAAAAGGAAGACCTTTCTCTCTCTCTCTTACTGTCCACTCTGCCTGTCAAAAAAATAAAAATTAAAAAAATTTAAAAAAAATAAAAAAAACTTTAAAGAAAAAAAGAAAGGCCTCTGTTCCTGTTTCCCCTGCTTAGCACAGCTCCCCCAGACCCTCACCTGGCTAGTCCCTCATCATTCAGGCTTCAGCTCAGACCTTCTCTGACTACAGCGTAGAGTAGGCCCCGCGCGGGCACTCCCTTTTCAGATCTCAATGCTTTATTCTTCACACATTTGTCTCTTTGGAAATATCTTTTACCCATCCTTCACCAGGGTATAATGTCTATAGCAAAGGAAGCCTTTTGTCTTCTTCGTTGCTATAGTCCTATTACCCATGCAGCTCTTAGGACACTGCGGAGCTCAGTGTCAAGTAGACAAACAAATGTCTCACTCAGAAGCCCACGCTTTTCCACTACCTGTGCTGCCTCTAGTGTATCTGAAGTAAGACCCCGTCCCAGAACTTACCCTGTGTTTTACAAGGAGTCTATTAATGCTACTTTCTTTCAAACAAAATTTTTCTAAAAATTGTTTCTAAACTAAACTAAAATCTTACAGTAAGAAGAAATCTGGGGGGGGCCGGGGCTGTGGCTCAACGGGTTAAGGCCCTGGCCTGAAGCGCCAGCATCCCATATGAGCGCCAGTTTGAAACCTGACTGCTCCTCTTCCGATCCAGCTCTCTGCTGTGGCCTGGGAAAGCAGTAGAAGATGGCCCAAGTCCTTGGGCCCCTGCACCCACGTGGGAGACCCAGAAGAAGCTCCTGGCTCCTGGATTTGGATGGGTGCAGCTCCGGCCGTTGTGACCAATTGGGGAGTGAACCATCAGATGGAAGACCGACCTCTCTCGACCTCTCTCTCTCTCTCTCTCTCTCTCTGCCACTCCTCTCTGTGTAACTCTGACTTTCAAATAAATAAATAAATCTTAAAAAAAAAAAAAAAGAAGAAGAAGAAGAAATCTGAGGCCAACGCTGTGGCACAGTGGGGCAATGCCCTGGCCTGAAGCGCTGGCATCCCATATGAGCGCCGGTTCTAGTCCCAGCTGCTCCACTTCCTGTCCAGCTCTCTGTTATGGCCTGGGAAAGCAATAGAAGATGGCCCAAGTCCTTGGGTCCCTGCATCTGCATGGGAGGCCCGGAGGAGGCTCCTGGCTCCTGGCTTCAGATTGGCACAGCTCCGGCCGTTATGGCTAATTGGGGAGTGAACCAGCGGATGGGAGACCTCTCTCTCTGACTCTCCTTCTCTCTCTGTGTAACTCTGACTTTCAAATAAATAAATAAATCTTTAAAAAAAAAAAAGAAGAAGAAATTTAAGTACAACATTACAAGCAAGTCTCTTAAGTTGCTCCATCTCACAGTTTTTATATGTAAAATCGAAGAACTGTTTAAAATTCATTTACAGATATTTCCCAAATACTCTACAAAAGTAGGGACATGAAGGTTAAGCAAGATAACTTCTGCCCTCAAAAGGGGCAGAGGCCTTTCAACTCTACAATGTGTGGGGTTCTATATAATTATTGGTTTGGACTCTTTGTGCTAGAGAAAGGCCTACCACTTCCCACAACTGAGATATTAATTGAAAGGTGTCATTAAGACGCTGATAAACACACTGCTTCATTTTAAAAGCGAATATTTAATTTAACATTGCAGTAGGAATTGAACAGTATTAAAAACAGAAGCACAGTAGTGGCTAAAGAGATGCATATTACTTTTTAGTTTACTTTTGAGGGGATTTTCATTGCCATTTCTCTCTATGGCGAAACACCTGCTAGGAAAATGTCTTTAGAAGACACAAATTCTCTATGAATGCAAGTCTAAAATGTTTAAAATGTGTTAAAGGTTTTGAAGACCCAAATCAGAAATAGCCAGTATCAGATATACCTCACTTGAATCCTTTTTTTAAAAGATGACAGAACTGAACAACTCAGCATCTCCCTAGAGACTGGCACCCTGGTTCATGATCCACACAGGAGTACACAGCTGTGGCTCAGCCATGGCGTTCTCTGTTCTAGATTCTTCTTGGCTTCCATCTGGGCAACTCCAAAGCACTGTGAGGAAAACACAGAAATAGATACCATTTCTCCTGCGTCCCTCTCAGCTTAGCAGCTAGGCAAATAATCAACTAGAAAAGGGTACATAATCCACATCTTGCAGTCCATAGAAGACCTCACTCAATTTGAAAAATTGCCAGTTCTGTCAAATATGCCAACACACCAATAAGGTATTTATGACAAATAATCTGTGGGGAAAGAAAAGACATTTAAAATTAGAATAGCATTACAAATAAAACAAACCTTAAAAAAAAACAGCATTATAACAACACAGCAGTTTGATAAGGGAATGATAAATGTCACAGTGGTCTAATTTCTGGATTTAGCTCATTAAGCACATGCAATGTACTTTCACTTTTGTATCTTTTGTAGTCTTCCTATTTTGTACTGCAGTACTGGTGTCTTCCCACCAAAATTATCTCCTAACATGGCCTCTGGTTTGGAAAGCATGAGTATGGCGCTTAAAGATGATCAATTTCTTGGAACCTAGGAGATGAGTTCAAGTCTTGACTCCTCTTTCCAAGCTATCTTGCACATGTCACTTAAAACCATCATGGGGGCCAGCATTGTAGGTGGAGGCTTAACCCACTATGCCACAACATGGGCCCCAATAAATACATCTTTTAAAAAATAATATGGGGGGCCAGTGCTGTGGCATAGTGGGTAAAGCTGCCGCCTGCAGTGCAGGCATCCCATGTGGGTACCGGTTTGAGTCCCAGTTGCTCCACTTCCAATCCAGCTCTCTGCTATGGCCTGGGAAAGCAGAAGATGGCCTAAGTCCTTGGGCCCCTGCTTCTGTGTGCGAGACCCAGAAGAAGCTCCTGGCTCCTGGCTTTGGATCGGCACACCTCAGGCCATTGCAGCCAATTGGGGAGTAAACCAGTAGATAGAAGACCTCTCTTTCTCTCTCTCTCTCTCTCTCTCTCTCTGTGTAACTCTGAGTTTCAAATAAACAAATAAATCTTTTTTTTTTTTTTTTTTTTTTTTTTTTGACAGGCAGATTGGACAGTGAGAGAGAGAGACAGAGAGAAAGGTCTTCCTTTGCCGTTGGTTCACCCTCCAATGGCCGCCGCGGCCAGCGCACCGCGCTGATCCGATGGCAGGAGCCAGGAGCCAGGTGCTTCTCCTGGTCTCCCATGGGGTGCAGGGCCCAAGGACTTGGGCCATCCTCCACTGCACTCCCTGGCCACAGCAGAGAGCTGGCCTGGAAGAGGGGCAACCGGGACAGAATCTGGCGCCCCGACCAGGACTAGAACCCGGTGTGCCGGCGCCGCTAGGCAGAGGATTAGCCTAGTGAGCCGTGGCGCCGGCCAACAAATAAATCTTTAAAAAAAAAATAAATAATATGAACTTGGGCTGGCATTGTGGCATAGCAGGTTAAGCCTCCACCTGCAGTGCCAGTATCCCATATGGGGGCCAATTCAAGTCCCAGCTGCTACACTTTCCATCCAGCGCCCTGCTAATGCACCTGGGAAAACAGCAGAAACCCACGTGGGAGACTCAGAAGAAGCTCCAGGCTCCTGGTTTCAGCCTAGCCCAGCCCCAGCTGTTAAGGCCACGTGGGGAGTGAACCAATGAACCAGACGATGTCTCTCACTCTCTACCTCTATCTTTCTCTATCCCCTCCTTCTCCTCTCTGTAACTCTAGCTTTCAAATAAAAAATTAGTCTTAAAAAAAAAATGAAACTATCATGGCGTCAGTTTCTTTAAGATAAAATGAGATTAAAAACAGCGAAGTAAAGACTACAACCAGGTCTGTTAATTTCCCAACATATTGGCAAGACCACAGGAAGCTTTCACACTGTGGCTATGTACACACTTTCTGTTTATTTGATGTTTCTTGTAATACACAGTTCATGAGAGCAAAACAATGTCTGTATTACTTCTTTCCCAATGGGGACAGAAAATTCTAGAATATAAAGATGACATCATCTTGTTCTATGTTCCTGACTATAATCTTCTTATCTAACATATAAAATCCTCTATTACTCTGATAATTGTTTCAACATTTGACAGGAAATAATTTGCAAAGTTTCAAAGTTATAAAATAATGCATATTACCAAAGTTTATAGCACATGGTATATAGTGCCCTCCCATTATAAAGCTGCAATAAAACTTTGGTAATTTAGTTATAAAGCACAAAATAAAGTCTCTCTACAGGGGTTGGTGCTGTCGCATAGTAGGTTAAAACTGCCTGTGGCACTGGCATCTCATATGGGCGCCAGTTCTAGTCCCAGCTGCTCCACTTCTGATCCAGCTCTCTGCTATGGCCTGGGAAAGCAGAAGTCCTTGGGCCCCTGCACCTGCATGGGAGACCCAGAAGAGGCTCCTGGCTCCAGCTCCCTGCTGATGCCCTGGGAGGGCAGTGGAAGATGGCCCTGGTGCTTGGGTCCCTGTACCCATGTAGGGGACCCAGAAGAAGCTCCTGGCTGCTGGCTCAGTCTGGCCTAGGCCTGGCCAATGCAACCATTTGGGGAGTGAACCAGCAGATGAAAGACTTCTCTATCTCTCCCTCTCTGTAACTCTGCCTCTCAAATAAATAAATAAATCTTTTAAAAAAAAGTCTCTCTACTGTCTTAAACTGGCATACATTCAAATGCATCTCTTCTATATGGAAAACACAATCACCATACATTTTGAAAACCCCGTAACAATAAGGAAAAATTACTTAGATTTGTTCAGACTAACCTTTATCTTTCCATCAGTATGTGCTGAAGCTACAGATGTTGAAACACGAACCAATCTTGTGGCTGATAAGTGAATTCTGAAATGTCTATAAAAATGTGAAGAGAGACAGTCCATGAACAAGTCAACTTCCTCCTGGGTAACCTCCCCAGGTGTTCTGTGGACACTGTCCCACAAAGCTTTTGCATCCTCTGGATGTATCGCATAAGAAATGTCCAGGCTTTGAGGGCTGCAGGGTACAGACCACAGAAACTCAGTGGCAGCCACATAACGGTCCATTTTGCATGCAGTCCACATAGCAGCCATCCAGGAAAGATTAAATGCATTGATCGCTAAAGGACTGAAGTAACAGTCAAAAGTTTTCTGAAACCAGGTTCCGATTATGGCTGTATTAGACTCTGCTCCATTTGCAAGGAATAAGGGTAAACAGGTGAAATCTTCCGAAACTGTTTCTAGAAGACCATCTCCAAACACACAGCAGAACCAACCGGTCCACAACGCCTTTGCTTCTCTGTCCTCAGATGGCAGCTGAGGTTTTGACAGAATCTACAAGGAAAAGTAAAACAGATTCGTTACAAGTACACATGATCTGACATTGTCTCAAAATTAGTACATTAAAAATAAGAAAATCTAATGTATCAGCTTGCCAAAAAGCACAAAAGGAATAGGTTCCCTAATCATTATTAGGGTTTATCAAAATAATTGAGCTTACTGCCAATATTTTTTTTTTTAAGATTTATTTATTAACTTGAAAGGCAGAGTTAGAGAGAGAGAGAGACAGTCCACTGGTTCACTCCCCAAATTTAGCAGCAAGAGCCAGGCCTGGACCAGGCCGAAGCAAGAAGCCTGGAACTCCTTACTGTTCTCCCACATGGGTGGTAGGGGCCCAAGGATATGGACCATCTCCAGCTGCCTTCCCAGGCACACAAGTAGGGAGCTGGATAGGAAATAGGACACCAGGACTCAAACCAACACCCATATGGGATGCCAGCATTGCAGGCAGCAGTTTAACCCACCATACCACAATGCCAGCCCCTACTGCCAGTAACCTGAAGATGTGGTATATGGCAACATTTTGGTGCAACCAAAATACAAAATAAGAGATGCCAAGGTCCATGATGCAGTACAGTGAATTAAGTTGTCTTTTGCAGTGCTGACAGCCTATACTGAAACACCGGCTCAGGTCCCAGCTGCTCGGTTTCCAATCCAGCTCCCTGCTAATTTATCAGGAAAGGCAGTGGAGGGTGGCTCAGGTGCTTGGGTCTATGCTACCCACATGGGAGATCTGGAAGGAGTTCCAGGCTACTGGCTTCAGCCTGGCTCAACCTCTGGCCTTTTTGGGGAGAGAACCAGCAGATGAAAGATATCTCTCTTCCCTCCCTCCCTCTCTTCCTGTCATTCTGTCTTTCAAACAAATAAATAAATCTTTTTAAAAAATGAGATGCCACTATGGCACAATCAGGTGCTGTATTCTGAAAAAAGAAAATTTCAACTTCATAAGGGACTACAAAGGTCACCAAATCCAATGTACTTGAATCTTCTATTGAGGAAGACAGTTCTTTCTGGTAACTTTAAATTATTTTTCATATGTTAGGCCTATTCTTTTCAATCTCCTGTTCTGTTTTATTCTTTACATAAAGCAAATCAAACCTAATGTCTCTTCTACAGGAAGAGTTGCCAACATATTTGATGGTCTCATATATATTATGAAGTTCAACATCTTCAATTTTTTCAATCATTTGTCCTGTGACATATATCCATGCTCCCTAACTATCCTAGTCACTCTTCTCTCAATTCCTCTGCATAAGAGTAATTTATAAGTGAACATAATTACTTCAAAAAGATTTAATTGTGAGATTATTACTATTTGGGGCTGGCACAGTGGTGTAGTGGGTTAAGTCACTTCCTGCAGACCAGCATCCCAGATGGGCACTGGTTCAATTCCTGGCAGCTCCACTTCTGATCCGGCTCCCTGCTAGTACGCCTGGGAAAGCAATGAAAGGTGGCTCAAGTCCTTCAGCCCTGCACCCACATGAGAGACCTGGAAGAAACTCCTGACTCCTGGCTTCAGTCTGGCCTAGCTCCGGCCATTGCGGTTATGTGGGGAGTAAACCAGCAGATGGAAGATCGATCTCTCTCTCTCTCTCTCTCTCTCTCTCTGTGTATGTGTGTAAATCTTTCAAATAAAATAAATAATCTTTGAAAAAATTATCACTATCCTTGACCTAGGTTATACTTCTATGAATGTAATCCCAGATTATAGTTTTCTGGGTTTATAGCGCTATAGAAATTAGCTCTCCATATTCATTTTTGCTTTTAATAGGCAAATCTCCCTCAACTTATATTAAGAAAGTAAACTGACTCCTCACTGTGGCACAAGGGGTTAAGATGACACCTGCAGTGCTGGCATCCCACATGAGCACCAGTGTGAGTCCTGGCTGCTCCACTTCAATCCAGCTCCTTGCTACTGTACCTGGGAAGGCAGTGGAAGATGGATCAAGTGTTTTAGTCCCTGCCACACATGTGGGAGACCCAGAAGAAGCTCCAGGCTCATGGCTTTGCCCTGGCCCAGCCTCAGCTGTTATAGCCATCTGGGGATGAGCCAGCAGACAGAAGACCTCTCTCTCTCTCTGCCTCTACCTCTCTCTCTGTAATTCCGCCTTTCAAATAAATCAATCTTTAAAAAAACAATAAAATAAAATATAAATTTCTTTCAATTTGGCCCATTGAGCCATTCCATTCAGACTGTTTAAGAAGGGGCCAACACTGGGGCAGCAGGTTAAAGACCCTGCCTGCAGCACCGGCATCCCATATGGGTGCCAGTTCTAGTCCTGGCTGCTCCACTTCCTATCCAACTCCCTGTTGATGCAACTCAAGTGCTTGGGACCCTGCACCTACGTGGGAAACCTGGAAGAAGCTCCTGGCTCTGGCTTCAGATCAGCTCAGCTCCTATCGTTGTGGCCATTTGGGGAGTGAACCAATGGATGGATGACCTCTCTCGCTGTCTCTCCCTCTCTTTGTAACTCTTTCAAATAAATAAAATAAATCTTAAAAAAAAAAAAAAAAGATTGTTTAGGATCTTAATTTTATTTCTACTTGACTAAGTCTTCAAATTTTAAATTTGAAAGTCTAATGACAAACATACCTTCCAGATATTCATGAAACTTTTTGTTAAAGTATTGACAAGGTCAAGATCACAATCCTGTATCATATCCCTTTAGTGACGAGCATTTAAACGGTTACTTAGATTTCCCCTTTTTGCTTAACAGATTATAAAAGACTCTCAATATCTTGAACCCAGATGTATTACGTTTATCATACTTTTGTCACCTATGAGTCCTGTAACTCTGACCAAAAATGAGGTTTAATTTGAAAACTACTGGAATACTGCACTAGGAATTCAAGAGGTCACTTCCAATCCTCACAAGAACGTCTGCATAACTGAAGACATGCACGTATCAAGACTTCTGTGAGCATCAGCTGCTTCCCTTGACAAACTTTACCAATTACCTCCCCAGTATCCATTTTTCTGTCCGCTATAAAACAGTCCCTTTACTTGAAGTAGCAAAGTACCCACTGAAAAATTTCTTTTAAAGATTTATTTATTTGAAAGGCAGAGTTACAGACAGAGAGACAGAGAGAGAGGGGTCCTCCATCCACTGGTTCACTCCCCAAAAGGCCGCAACAGGCCAAGTCTGGGCCAGATTGAAGCCAAGAGCCAGGAGCTTCTTCCAGGTCTCCCACATGGCTGCAGAGGCCCAAGCACTTGGACCATCTTCCACTGCTTTCCCAGGCCATTAGCAGAGAGCTGGTTCAGAAGAGGAGCTGCCAGGACACAACTGGTGCCCATGTGGGATGCCAGCACCACAGGCAGAGGCTTAGCCTACTACACACACCACAGCATCAGCCCCAGAAAGCAAATTTGTCTAGGCTCCCTTCCAAGCAGGATGCAAACAGGTGCTGGGTCTCAGCAGTATTTAGTCTGTGTCAGACAGCCTGTCTGTCCTTCCTGCCTGGAGCTGAGCATCCTGTGTACAGCCCCAACGCCATCTTCTACACACGGCGGCTGTAAGGGTGAAGCCATGCCCTAAGCCACGGCAGAGAAGAGAGGCAGAGGAAGCCTAGACTGCCAGCGATTTACTGCATCAAGCACCGTACCAGCCTTGAACGGCTTCCCTCACTTTTTTCTTTTTTGTAAGACTAATAGACCTCTGTCTCCTGCCCTCAGCTGCATCTCACCCCAGTGCATTGTACGATCGCCAATCCACGGCCTGCACCAGGAGTCAGCAAGGGTTTCTTTCAGGGGCTGGACAGTAACTACTGTAGGCTCTGCTGGTCATAGGATCTTTGTCCCAACTACTCAGCGCTGCTGTTGTAGCCCAAAACAGACACAAACAACACAAAAGTAGATGAAAAGGGCTATGTTCCAATTATCCCTTATTTACAAGAAAAAGCAGCAGGTAACATCTGGCCTTGTAAGCCACAGTTTACCAGCCTCTGGTCTATATAAACAAGCAAAAAAACAGGCTTTCTCAACTGCGCGAGACTTTAACTTCCTTATCAGTGACTAAGCTTAGTCACCGAGAGGAAACAGAAGCAACAGGCATGAGTGACATATAAAATCGATCCACTTAATCAAGTGAAAGATAGTCGTATCACCTTTATACACTACTCAGGAGAAAGAATGTAAAGCGTTACTACATTTCTGAGAGTAACCTGGCACAATATATCACAATAACTAAAGATATGCTATTTTTTACTACAATTATACTTTTAGGAACTTAATTTTAATAAAAACCATAGAATTATACAGATGCATCTTCAAAAATGTTTAATTTCTAATGGCATGAGTAATCACCTACAAATATTAATTAGTGAAAATGCTATAATGTGAAAATAATAAACAGTATAAGCACTATTTTAAGACCATATAGATGGGGCCAGCGCTGTGGTGTAGCAGGTGAAGCCACCTCTTGCAGTGCCAGCATCCCATATGGACACCAGTTCAAGTTCCAGCTACTCCACTTCCGATCCAGCTCTCTGTTATGGCCTGGGAAGGCAACAGAAGATGGCTCAAGTCCTTGGGCCCCTGCACCTGCATGGGAGACCCGGAGGAAATTTCTGGCTCCTGGCTTCAGATTGGCACAGCTCTGGCCATTGAGGCCATCTGGGGAGTGAACCAGCGGATGGAAGACCTCTCTCTCTGTCTCTGTGCCTCTCCTTCTCTCTGTGTGTAACTCTTTCAAATAAATAAATAAATCTTAAAAAAAAAAAAAAAAAAGACTGTATAGATACACAGATGTGCATTAACATGTTAAAACTGTGATTTCTTTAACTTTCTTTGTACTTTTATGTATTTTCTAAGTTTCCTAAAATAAACAAAATTTTAGACACAGACTCACACATTTCCTATACATGTAGGAAAAACATTTTTAGGTTGGCTGTTTCAAAATTTGGTTAAACATAGCTTAGAACAGGTTAAAATAACAACTTGGGAATTTAAAAAAAGTAAGAAAATACCAAAACAATTTCCAAACCATGAAACCGCAGCTTTTTTCCCCCAAGGAAGAGGTGTTGCTTATATATCACACCTGGACGAGAACTGCTTCCGGGTCGCTTTGCGTTCCTTTCACTCCGAGGAGAGTAGAGAAAACCACTTTGATGTTGCAGTCTTCTCCTACTTCCACAGCAAGTCCTTTTTGCTTTTCAGCAGTAATAAACGCACTCAGAAGTCTAGAGTACTCCTTGAGATTAGTATAGGAAAATTTGTATAGGGGAGTTAAACTATATAAAGTCCACTGTTTATGCAGAAGGAATGCAACCTTTTGAGGATCAACATCTTCCTAAAAAAATCAAGACAAAAGAAGTTTAACAATTAGGAAATATTAGTAAGAATTCCATTATAGTATTTTGTGTGTCTAACACAAATCTATTACTGAAGACCTGATTTTTTTTTTCTAATTTCTTTGCAAGGCAGAGTGACAGAGAGAGCTACATCTTCCATCTGCTGGTTCACTCCCCAAATGGCCACAATGGCCAGAGATGGACCGATTCAAAGCCAATAGCTTCTTCCAGGTCTCCCATGTGGGTGCAGGGACGCAAGCACTTGGGCCACTGGGCCAACTTCCACTGCTTTCCCAGGCCACAGCAGAGAGCTGGACTGGAAGAGGAGCACCTGGGACTCCAACTGGTGCCCACATGGGATGCTGGTGCCGCAGGTGGAGGCGTAGCCCACTCTGCTACCACGCCGGCCCAAAGCCCTGATCTTTGCACTCCAGCCAAACTGGAGCTTCCAGGGCATTCTGCAGGTCCGTGAACAGCCCTCGGCATTGGTAGTCCCTTCCCTGTGCAACACTCTTCCCCAGGAGCTCCATGGCATGCTCCTTCACTCCACGCGTGTCTTTGCCCCAGTGTCACCCCACAAGCTACCGGAGTTAAAGCAGCACCTGCACCCACTCCAACTTTGTCACTCTGAATCTCTCCTGCCCTATTTTTCTTCCTAACGTGCTTTCTTTTAAGATTTATTTATCTGCTTAAAAGTCATACTTACAGAGAGAGGGAGAGGGGCCGGCATTGTGGCATAGCAGGTAAAGCTGCTACCTGCAGTGCCAGCATCCCACATGGGCACCGGTTCAAGTCCCGGCTGCTCCACTTCTGATCCAGCTCCCTGCTAATGGCCTGAAAACAGCAGCAGAAGATGGACCAGGTGTCTGGGCCCCTGCCACCTATCTAGGACACCTAGATGAAGCTCCTGACTCCTGGTTTCAGCCTGACCCAGCCCTGGTCTTTGCAGCCATCTGGGGAGCAAACCAGCAGATGAAAGATCTCTCTCTCTCTCTTTCTCTCTCACTGTAACTCTTTCAAAATAAATAACTAAATCTTTAAAAAAAAAAAAAAAGAAAAAAAGTTGAGCACCCCTAATCTGAAAATCCAAAATCTGAAATTTTTTGACATGGTATCACAAGTGGAAAATTTAACACCTGACCTCATATGATTAGGTATAGTCAAAATGACGTGTAGGGGGCAGTGTTGTGGCGTAGTGGTAAAGCATCCCATATGGGCACGGGTTCATGTTCCAGCTGTTCCACTTCTGATCAGCTCCCTAATAATACACCTAGGAAAGCAGCAGCCAATGACAAGGTACTTGGGCCCCTACAACCATGTGGGGACCCCAGCGGAAAGAAGGGGCCATCAAAGAAGGATGTATTTTTCTCTGAAGGGAGGAGAGAACTTCTAGTTTGCTTATGGCCCTGTCTAAATAAACTCGGAGTTTGTGAACTCAGAAGGCTTCCATAGCCTTGCCAGCTCATGTCAAGAGCCTCAGGTGATTACTGACATCATAAATAAGAGTGTCAATTGTTAAATCAACAACAGGAGTCACTGTGCACTTACTCCCCATGTAGGACCTCTGTCCTTACTGTGTTGTACTATGAGAATTAACTGCAAAACTCGTCTGCAAACAGTACTTCATACTTTGTGTGTCTGTGTGGGTGTAAATTGTGGAAATCTTTACTTAGTTTAGAGTTGGTCTTCTATATATAAAGCTAATTAAAAACGAATCTTAATGAAGAGTGGGAGTGGGAGGGTGTGTATGAGGGGAAGAACTGCTAGATTCCTAAAGCTGTACCTGTGAAATTTATATTCATTAAATAAAAGCTTTCTTAAAAATAAAGGGAAGGGGGCAGGAAAATAGATCTTTAAAAAAAAGGCAGGAAGAGTAGGATTATACTCTTCAAAAATGTCAAGTTTGTAAAATATAAGACACGGTAGGAAAATCACCTCGATTAAAGGAGATTAAATAACAAAAAAGGTAGTGCTGCAGTGTGAAATCTTTTTTAATTGTTTCTCACTTTAGGAGCCAAGAGGTTAAGAAAAATTTAAAAATACTATAAATAGCCACAGAAGTTGAAACTTAATTCACAGCACCGACTGAGAAAGGAATACACAGAGGCGTACCTGCAGCTGTGAGCGCTGGGGAATCCTCCTTCGGGGCGGAGTTGGGACAAATGAAGTGGCCTGCTTCCTGACCGACTCCAGCCGTCTCTGCAGCGGGGTGGCTGCTAGAAAGTACTCTTTGAGACTGCAGGATGGGTGCTGCCTAGGAGTGGATTCTGGTGCATCATAAGGATCCATGGTCTACATTAAGAGAAAAAAATAAAACACTGAGGAGTTAACTCATGCTGACAACATCACAGAGTCCTCTCCGCACTACAAAGGAATTCTTCCTCTCTTTACTTCTCTCCCCTCCTTGTCCCCAGTTTGGACTTTTCAGCCTACTGTATTTCTCATTGTCTTTTGTGAACATGTTAGCTACATTAGTATGTTCAGAACCAAATTCAATTTCTTCCTTCGCTCTTCTTTCCAAAAGCTACCTGGTCCATTTTCAAATTCCTGCCAATTTTCTAAGCTCACTTAAACTCATTTAAGTGGTCCCCCGTTGTCATTCTTTAACATTCATCATAATGCACATTCTATTTTTCCCTTTAACACCATCTATTCCCAAAGCTTCTTCCTTAGCCATGTTTTTATTACTACAACCAAAAGTTCTCCACATCAAAGAATAATTCATTCTTCCAAAAAAAAGCTCCAAACTAACTTTATGAAGTTACCTGTGCAAAAATCTGTACAGTGACAAGATAAGTCCTAAACTCTTCTGTTCAGTACTCTAGGTCTTTATAGCTCAGTGACCAGGTAAGTCCTAGACTCTTCTGTTCAGTACTCTAGGTCTTTATAGCTCAGTGACCAGGTAAGTCCTAACTCTTCTGTTCAGTACTCTAGGTCTTTATAGCTCAGTGACCAGGTAAGTCCTAACTCTTCTGTTCAGTACTCTAGGTCTTTATAGCTCAGCGTCTCCTTACCCTCCTGAGTCCACTCCCAGGCAAGGACATAATCTCAGGCTTGTCCTCCTGTTTTGATTGTCCACCATATTCCCTAGCGGAAGTGACCTCAAGATCGTGTTAGAATTCCATCTCTTTTCAAGCAAGTGGGGGATGATAACCCTTTTCCATGAAACACCTATGTTACACACTTCTGCCTGTATCGGTGGCTCATTCCTGGAAGCAGTGTGAGTACGTGTGAGCACAATGAGATCTCATCTCTCAGGGAGTCTAACGAAACCCCCAGCAATGTCCTCTGAGAGCTCTGGAGATGGGCCGGCACACAGGCCCTCCTCAATCCCTGTCTGCAACACTCATTTTGCCCTTGTTCACGTACTTCGCTGTACCACTATTTGGTGTGTTGTTCTTGTCTCCCCAGCAAGTCCAAGCTTCTCTGACTGAATCATGCTTTGTGTTTCTCATATCATTACCCAACCCAATGCTGAGTGTCCTTTAATTGTTAAACAACTATTAGTTCAATGAAATGAAGTATTTCACAGAGCTCCAAAATTAAAATATAGTTTTCATCAAGAGGAATTATTTTAAAAACTATAATAATTATTCCAAACTACTCTGCAGGTACTCTTTTTTAAAAAAGTTTCTAAGCAAAAGTTACTTTGTGGGGTTGGCATTGTGGCACAACAGGTAAAACCATCACCTGCGACACTGGCATCCCATATGGTCTCTGGTTCGTATCCCAGCTGCTTAGCTTCTAATCCAGCTCCCTACTAATGTCCTGGGAAAAGTAGGAAAATATGGCCCAAGTGTTTGGGCCTCTGTCACACATGTGAGAGACCTGGATGAAGCTCCTGACTCCTGGCTTCAGCCTGGCCCAGTGCTGGCCATTGCAGACATCTGGGAAGTAAACCAGCAGATGGAAGATCTGTGTGTGTGTGTGTACGTGTGTCTCCATATCCTTCTCTAACTCTTTCCAAAAAGTTACTTTTGTTAATAGTAACAAAAAATAGTATCCCCCTCCCCAGTTGAGTTTTTTTAATTTTAATAGGCAAGGGGCTAGCACTGTGGTGCAGTGGGTTAACACCCTGGCCTGAAGCGTCAGCAACCCACATGGGCACCAGTTTGAGACCTGGCTGCTCCACTTCCGATCCAGCTCTCTGTTATGGCCTGGGAAAGCAGTAGAAGATGGCTCAAGTCCTTGGGCCCCTGCACTGGCTTGGGAGACTCGGAGGAAGTTCCTGGTTCCTGGCTTCGGATCAGCGCAGCTCCGGCCATTGCAGCCAATTGGGGAGTGAAGCAGCAGATGGAGGACCTCTCTCTCTCTCTCTCTCTCTCTCTGCTTCTCCGTCTCTCTCTGTGTAACTCTTTCAAATAAATAAATAAATCTTCAAAAAAAAAAAAAAATAGTCCTCAGAGCTCAGATAATGCCCAGAGCAGGATCATATATAACACAATTTAAATGTTTATTTATTTTCATCTACTTGAAAGGCAAAGCTGGGGTTGGGGGTGCGGGGAGGCACAGAAAGAGGGAAGGAGAGAGACGGTCTATCCTCCAGTCAAAGGCCCAAAACAGCTAGGACTGGGCCAAGCCAAAGCCAGGGATCCAGAACTCAATCTGGGTCTCCCACATGGGTGGCAGGAGCCCAAGCACTTGTCCGTCATCTGCTGCCTCCCAGGAAGCATTCGCAGGAAGCTGGATCAGAAGCAGAGCAGGGGCCAGCACTGTGGCACAGTGGGTTAGGGAGCCACCTATGCTGTTGGTATCCCATGTAAGCACTGGTTCCCAGCTGCTCCACTTCGGATCCAGCTCCCTGCTAATGCACCTGGAAGAGCAGTGGAGGACGGCCCAGAACTTGGGCCCCTGCACCCATGTGGGAGACCCAGATGAAGCTCAGCTGCTGCAGTCATTTGGACAGTGAACGAAAAGATGGGAGATGTCTCTCTGTAGCTCCCTCTCTCTGTGTAACTCTGCCTTTCAAATAAATAAAGAGGGAGGAGGAGGGAAGAGGATGTAGGAGGAGAAGGAGGAGGCAAAGGTGGAAGGGGAGGGGAAGGGAGGAGGAGAAGAGGAAGAGGAGAAGAAAGCAAACAGCCAGGACTCCAACCAGCACTCGATGCTCCAGCGTCACAAGTTGTAGCTTAAACCCCACTCCCACCCCACACACACTGTCCACCCTATACCAATAATTTAAGACGTGGCTACTCTAAAGCAGTCTCGCTTTAAATGTGCACTGAATTATCTATTTGAAAGGGAATCTTAACCAGTCCCATTTACAGACAATGCTTCTTTCAAACGTGTAACTTGGGCAATAACAACTAACATGAACGGAGCATTTATCATGCTCCAGGTACTCTTAATCCTCAACCCCACTAGTGAGTGGGTTACTGTGTTCCTAGGTGACAAAAAGCTGAATGACTTGCCAAAGTCAAACAGTAAGACAGTCAAAGAGCAAGGATTTCAACCCAGGAAGTCTGGCTCTTATCTACTTCTTTCACACTACATCTCAAATGCAGATCAACATCAAGGCAAAATAATTCCTGCTAAACTTAATTCCTTGGGGGCTGGCGCTGTGACATAGTGGTAAAGCCGCCACCTACAGTGCCGGCATCCATATGAGTGCCGGTTCAAGTGCCGGCTGCTCCACCTCTGGTCCAGCTCTCTGCTATGGCCTGAGAAAGCAGTGGAGGATGGCCTGAGTCTTTGGGCCCCTGCACCTGCGTGGGAGACCTGCAGGAAGCTCCTGGTTCCTGGCTTCAGATCGGCCCAGCTCCATCTGGGGAGTGAGCCAGTGGATGGAAGACCTCTATCTCTCTCTCCTGCCTCTGCCTCTGTCTCTCTGTAACTCTGCCTTTCAAATAAATGAATGAATCTTAAAAAAAAAAAAAAAAAAAAAAAAAAAAAAAAAAAAAACTTGATTCCTTAAGAGAGATGTTACAAATCACAAAAATATTTTAAAGTCTAGCTAAGCCATAAATTTAAGTAAGAAAAAAGACTATCAGCATTGGGAGAGAGGGCTGGTTTTCAGAAAATGTTCGACTTGAGCATGTAGCATTAAGGTAATGTGAAACAGCCCAATGCATGCATTAACGATTAACAAATGATATATAGCAATTGCAGCTTCTTGCTCCACACTCACGAATGTGTAACTCTGCTTAGCTCAGAAAAAGAGAGGTGACAAATATATCCTGACCCAAGACATTACTGCCCCAATGTTCCTCCTTCCAACTGTGAGGAAAGAGACTCCCACTGCTTTCTAAAGCTACTGCGGGGATCAATATTCTGATCTCCAACCAGTGGACATCTCCCCGGACTGGAACCACTCCTACGTTAATCTAAAATTTATGCCATCTTGAATCTCTCCTCCGAAAGATCCTGTTTTCCCACTGCCAAACATCCTAGCACTAAAACATGCCTCTTTCAATCCAATTCACGCCCTTCTTTCTGGGAGCAAGCTCCTGGAAGCGGGTGTACGCCCCCTGCTTCCACTAAGAAGTATGTTATCAGAAGTCTTCAGCAAGCCCTCGGTTAGAAGGAAACTGTACTCTTGAAGATAACCAACATTTTGCCGAAGCCACGGCCAAATAAATGCGTGGTTCACCAGGTCTGCTCAGCGACCCCTCTACACTTTCTCATCACGTTTGTTCGCGGCTCCTCCCCTAAGCCACCTGCTGCTACCTGGTTTCTTCTGACACTGCATCTCCGGGCGATCTCCCTCCTTGCACACAGTGCCTGCCGCTGCCTCTTCTTCTCCACGCCCCCTAAGTGGGTGCTCCCCCCGACTCTGAAGTCCTTCACTCCACAAGTGGCTGCCAGATCTCTACTTCTGACTTGACACCTGCGTCCCGGTCCGGGGAGTCTCCGCTCCCGCGGGTCTCACCATCTCTTTCCCATTTCGCAGGCTGCATCTGCTCGAGGCAGCTCTCCAGAATCCACGGAGCGAGCTCGCGCTCCTGCCAGCTCCTCTTGCACTTGCAGTCCACGACACAGAATTCACGCTCACCTGTTCTCCTGTGGCTAGACCGGGGGGGTGGGGGGGCTATACTTACTCACTTTCTGCATTGCGCTGAAGTGTAACTCCAACTGCAACCCCAGGCCTCCGCCGAGCGCTGAGCGCATCTAAACACACAGGACTGGAGGAGAATGACCAGGCGCCAGGGAGAGCGGCAGGGTCCACGGCCTGCCCCGGAGCAGCTTACCAATAGAATGCCGTGTCCACGCTGTCACCCATTCCGGATTCAGCAATCATTCCTGCAGACCAGCTCCGACACTGCGTCGCGCCCAGGAGACCTCGGCCCTGCGACTTCACGCCGGGGAGGTCCCTTACCCTGACCAAGCCACGCAGCCCGGCCACCCGCACTCCAGCGGAGCCGGCTCCTGTCCGCCGAGAGGGAAGGGCCGAGGGCAGTGGGTCCCAGCTCGCCCCTCTCCACCTAAGCTCCAGGCTCCTAGGGGGCCGAGGGCCAGCTCTGAAATCCCGCCTTCGGAAAGCGGCAAATCGGCGCTCAGCCGCCCACGAAGTTTAAAATCGTTTCCCGACTCGCTCTGCGGTCCGACGCAGGAAGCCTCCCTGGCGGCCCGCCGAGTCCATTTCCATGCAACAGCCGAAGTCGCCATTTTAACTGAGGGCAGGGCCGCGCCATTTCTTACCGCGTGTGGGGGCGGGTCTTCCGCTTTCTACCGGCGCGAAGCCGTCCTCTCACACTTCCGCCCGCACTACGCATGGCTTCGCCTCCTCCGTTCTGATTGGCTGAATGCTCTCGTCGTCTATCTCGGGCGCTGGCCGGACGGGTGGGCGGGCGCTCGTGGGTCTCAGCGGTCAATGGGGTGTGCGTTCGGATGCTGAGAGACTTTGGGGTTGCTCACCCTGAGAAGACCCGAGGTCGGCCCCGTTCTTCTGCAGACTGAGGTCGCGCCTGGGGCCGCTGCGTGGGATCCTGCTCGCGTCCCTAGAAGTGGGCACTGCTGCGCGGAGAGGGAGGAGAGGTCTTTCCGCTCCCCGCGAGGCCCCAAAGACCTCGTAGATTGTCTGGCCTCTGGACACGGAGCAGGCCCTATGTTGGAGAAAGCCGTGGGATTGCCAGGAACTGGCGCGATTTGTGTGTGTCTGCAAGCTGACTTCTGACCGCCGGCGACACTGGCAGCGAGGACTCGCCTTGGTTCCAGCATGTACTTCCCGTCTTGGATGCGTCAGCTGTACAGGGGTTTATCCGCGCCGCCGGCCTGGGCTTCCCCCCGCAGGAGCCTGGTGCTGAGTCCGCACCGGAGACTTCCAGGTGAAAACAGCGGAGGGCTGTCCGCAGCACGGGGCGCCGGTCGCCTGCAGCAGGGAGCTGCGGCTTCCGTTTGCACCCGGTTCTGTGTAGAGGCACATCATTCGCTTCTCTGTCTTCATTCCTTACAATGCGAAGTTCGTCAGGTTTGTGGAAAGACTGCACAAAAGCAGCCAGCATCACACGTACATAGGCTGTTCTGCTTGTGGTTGGTGCTAAAAGGAAGCCTACCAGAAAACCCTTCCAACTTCACAGCGCTCTAGTCTGCAAGTGGCTGTCTCACGCGAGGTTCATTCTATAGCTAGTGCCTACACCAACAAGCTTCTGTAACTCCTAAACCCGTATTTCCTCGGGGAAGAACTGTGCAACGTTAAAAACTGGGTTATTAGGATTTAGGTCGGTATGCAAAAACTTTAGATTCCCTAACACAAGGCAAACGTGTACATTCAGATTATTGTTCACTTGGCTGATGACACATTTGCAGGTAAATTTAGTAGGGGTGGGTCAAACTCTATAAATCTTCTCCATTGAGGTATTTACCTAAGATGTGACTTGAGAATGTATTTTTAAGCAATCTGGAAATGAAAATGTTATATTTTTAATATTGCGTTTAAACACACTCTCTCTCTCTCTCTCTCTCTCTCTCTCTCAGAATTCAGTAGTTTTATTGCCCGGACCAACACATGTGGAGAGTTGCGTTCTTCTCACTTAGGCCAAGAAGTCACCTTGTGTGGATGGATTCAGTACAGAAGGTAAGTTGAGGCACGTGGTTTAAGAGTGGACAGTAGTGTTTTTCCAAGGCTGTCCCAGACTACTAATTTTCAACAATTCAAAAGAATAAGCTTTGCAAATCCTACAGGATTATCAGGATTCACCGAATTTTCAATGTGTGTTTTGAAAGACCCAAGCAGTGTCATTCTCAGAAAATACCAGTAACGTCTCTTGCAGGGTGTACTAATGAAGCTTGATCCACCCATGGACTGAAATGAGCCTGAGCTGTAACCAGCAACTGGGAATGCGCCAGCCTCCTATAAGCTGGCTGTTCAGTTCTACTATCACAGAGGGAAGAAGCTGATTTTATTCTAAATACAGATAGAGAAGAGGCCTATAAATGTAGACAGTGGTTTTTTAAGATCAGAGCCCACTGGTTTGATGTGGTTCACCTCTATATTCCAGAACATACCTGAATAATATATTAATACTAATTGAGGAGATTCAAAACACCTGGATTCTGTGACCTTCACAAAGGATAGGTGGCTGATTGCCCCATAAATTTGGTGACTTTGTTTTCTGAACCCAGTGTGGTAGGAGGCTTTCTGTACTTCTTTCCTGAGGACAGTTTAAGAAATGTGAATTAAATGCCAAAATGTTGGGATTTCTGGGACCCTTTGATGGTTTCATGTGGAAGTATTAAATCAGTACTTGAAACTCTTCTGTAATACATTTTTTAAAGATTTATTTATTTGAAGGTTAGAGTTACAGAGAGGGAGTGAGAAGTCTCCCATCTGCCGGTTCACTCCCCACAACGACGGGGGCTGGACCAGGCTGAAACCAGGAGCCGGGAGCTTCATCCAGGTCTCCCACGTGGGTGGCAGGGGCCCAAGCATTTGGGCCGTCTTCTAGTGCTTTTCCCAGTCCATTAACAGGGTCAGAAGTGGAGCAGCTGGGACACAAACTGGCGCCCATATGGATGATAGCATCACAGGTGGTAGTTTTACCCACTACATCACAGTGCTGGGCCTAGAATATTTTATATTGTATCTTTTTTTAGAAAGGAAAAAAAACTTACATTGCTCTATAAGGGTACTTTAAAAACTGCCTGGAAATGGAGTTAAAAGATAAGCTTATTTTAGTGTAAATTTGTTTAAATCTATGAAGTTTTTTCATAAAACAGATTTTCTATGAACTTTTTAAAGACTTCATTTTTAAGATTCATTTTATCTTATTTACTTGAAAAGCAGACAGAAAGATGGAGAGACAGAGAGAGAAAGATCTTTCATCCACTGGTTCACTCCCCAGATGGCCGCAATGGCCCAAACTGGACCAGGCAAAGCCAGGAGTCTGGCACTCCCTCCAGGTCTCCCACATGGGGGGGCAGGAGCCCAAATACTTGGGTCATCTGTTGCTTTCCCAGGCACATTAGCAGGAATGCGGGATCTGAAGCAGACAGCTGGGACTTGAACCCACATTTTGACACTGGATGCTTATGTCACAAGCATTAGCTTAACCCACTGCACCACAGTGCCAGTCCCTAATAAAATTTTCTTGTAAAGTCTTGAGCCATTAAAAATATCTTTTAATTTTTAGTTTGCTTTTTCACTAAGCTGCTTAACGTCAATAAGCTGTATAAATAGCCAGTCAAAATTGAGGAAGAGGACATGTAGCAGTTAAGATGCTTACCTACCACTACCATGGCAGAGTGCCTGGGCTCCACTCCTGTCTTTGGCTTCTGTCTCCAGCTTCCGGTCAGTGCAGAACCTGGGAGCAGCAGTGATGGCTCAGGTAATTGGTGTTTTTTTGTTTTTGACAGGCAGAGTGGACAGTGAGAGAGACAGAGAGAAGGTCTTCCTTTACCATTGGTTCACCCTCCAATGGCCACTGTGGCCGGCGCACCACACTGATCTGAAGCCAGGAGCCAGGTGCTTCTCCTGGTCTCCCATGGGGTGCAGGGCCCAATGACTTAGGTCATCCTCCACTGCACTCCCGGCCCACAGCATAGAGCTGGACTGGAAGAGGAGCAACCAGGACAGAATCCGGTGCCCCGACTAGGACTAGAACCCAGGGTGCCGGCACCGCAGCTCAATAGGCTAATCCTCCGCCTGCTGGACTAGAAGAGGGGTAACCAGGACAGATTCCGGTGCCCCGACCAGGACTAGAAGCTGGCAGGCGGAGGATTAGCCTATTGAGCTGCGGCGCTGGCCATAATTGGGTTCTTGCACGCCGGAGAGAGACATGGATTTCAGCCCAGCCCTTGGTTCCAGCCATGGCCATTGTGGGAATTTGGGAAGTGAACCAATGAATGGGAGCTCACTGTCTCTCTCTCATGTGTGCATGCTGTCTTTGCCTCTAAAATTTTTTTTAATTGAAATGAAAATACCTGTTTTCCATTCATAAGCTACATTAATGATTGCATGAACATAGCCGATAGAAGTATATATCATTAAAAAGAAACACGACGGGGTGGACATTGTGAGCAAGGTCAGTCTCTGCTTGGGACTCCCACATCCCATCTCAGAGTGCCTGGGATGGAGTCCACTTCCAATTGAGCTTAATAACGTGCTCCCTGGGAGGTAGCAGGTGGTGACTCCGGTACTTGGATTCCTGCCACCCATGTGGGAGACCCAGATGGAGTTCCAGGTTCCTGGTCCTGGCTTGGCCCAGCTTTATTTGTTGGGGGCATTTGAAATTGAAACAGTGGATGGAAGATCACTCCCTCTTCACCCTCCCTCTCTTCCTCTGTCACTCTCCCTTTTGGATAAATAAGTAGGGCTGCACGTGGCTCACTTGGTTAATCCTCCGCCTGTGGCGCCGGCATCCCATATGGGCGCCAGGTTCTAGTCCCAGGTGCTCCTCTTCCAGTCCAGCTCTCTGCTGGCCTGGGAAGGCAGTGGAGGATGGCTCAAGTGCTTGGGCCCTGCACCCACATGGGAGACCAGGAGGAAGCACCTGGCTCCTGGCTTCAGATCAGCACAGCGCCAGCCGTAGCAGCCATTTGGGGAGTGAACCAATGGAAGGAAGACCTTTGTCTCTGTCTCTCTGTCTCACTGTCTATAACTCTACCTGTCAAATAAAAATAAATAAATAGACAAGTGAGTAAATGAAAGAAACATGAGCAATTGGATGGGTGTTTGTTACTTTTTTGCTTTCCCTGCTTAAATTTGGCGGCTCAGATTTATTTTTATTTACTTAGGGGACAGAGAGAGCACTCCATATGCTGGTTCACTCCCCAAATGCCCACGATGGCTAAGGCTGGCCAGGACAGAGGCAGGAGTACAATCCAAGTCTCTCATGTAGGAAGCAAGAGCCCAGTCACTTGAGCCGTCACCGCTCCCTCCCAAGGTCTGCATTGGTAGGCAGCTGGAGTCAGGAGCCAGAGCAGGGAACTGACCCAGGTACTCCACTGTGGGATGCAGACACCTCAACTGCTAGGCTGAACGCTTTCCTGGGTCTCGAGATTTTATCCTTACATGTTTCTTTTTCTTTCTTTTTTTTTCCCATTAATCAGACAAAACATCTTCCTGGTCCTAAGAGATTTCCACGGGCTTGTACAAATTGTCATTCCCCAGGATGAGGTAATAAAAAGTATATTACTGTCATCTAAAATTATCTTTGATGTTATGAGTAAGGTAAGCTAAGTAGCTTGATAAGTGTGTTTAAGGTTTTAAATTCAGAAGTTTATTTTTAAAAACTGAAAACAACCATATGTAATATGAAGACATGACCAACTTGGAAAAACATACATATAACTCATATCACAGATAAAGGACCAATCTCTCTACTATTAAAAAGACTGTTACAAATAAAGAAAAAAGATCAATGACCCAGTAGAATTACGAACCCAGAATTTGGACATAAAATTATAGAAAAGAGAATGTAAGTGGACTGTAGACATGAAGTGTGCCCAGGAGTACTTACAGTTAGAAAAATGTGACTTAAAAATACATAGAATTGTTAGGGGTATTTTTTTATTTATTTATTTATTTTTTGCTTGTGAGTACTTCCAGTACACACGCATAATTCTTTTTTATTTCCGAGGGTTTCCGTTAGGATACAACAGGGATAGAAAACAAGGCGCGGGAAACGGAGGGAGTCTCCCGGCCGCTTCCTCATTCTCGACTCCCGCACAGTATGCCGACCCTGCCCGCCTAGTCGTCAGCGGAACCCGACGCCCTTGCGCGCGCGTTCTCGTCTTCTCTTAGGGGTATTTTTTTATTTTTTTCTTTAATTGTTAATTATTTGCGAGTCAGAGCTCTCATCTGCTGGTTCACCCCTTAAATGCCTGCAAGAGCTAGGGCTGGGCTGGGCCAAAGCTGAGAGCTGGGAACACAATTCAGGCCTCCCACATGTGTGCAGGAGCCCAGTTACTCGACTCGTCATTGCCTGCCTCCAAAGGTCTTAGTAGGGAACTGGAAACTGGAGCCAGCTCTTGAATCCAGGCACTGCAATAAATGCTAGGCCAAACGCCCACCCCACAATTGTTCTTTTTTTTTTTTTTTTTTTGTGACAGCCAGAGTTAGATAGTGAGAGAGAGAGAGACAGAGAGAAAGGTCTTCCTTTCTCCGTTGGTTCACCCCACAAGTGGCCACTACGGCCGGCATGTTGCAGCCGGTGCATTGCACTGATCTGAAGCCAGGAGCCAGGTGCTTCCTCTTGGTTTCCCATGTGGGAGCAGGGCCCAAGGACCTGGGCCTTCTGCCACTACACTCCCAGGCCACAGCAGAGAGCTGGCCTGGAAGAGGAGCAACTGGGACAGAATCCAGCGCCCCGACTGGTACTAGAACCCGGTGTGCCGGCGCCGCAGGCGGAGGATTAGCCTAGTGAGCCACGGCACCGGCCCAGAATTGTTCTATTTAACATATTGTGTTTGGGAAAGCAAATGTTTATGCATTCCTGGAGGGAGTACAAATTGATACCAACCATATGGAGAGCAATTTTGCAATAACAAAATTATAAATGCATGTATCATTTAAACCACTAGTTCTACTTCCAGTAAATTATCATACACCTAGACTTACGTGGATACAAATGACATATATGCATGGATATTTAACTCAGGATTATTTTTATAGAAAATAATTGGGGGAGTAGGTATTGCGGCATAGTAGGTTAAGCTGCCACTTGGGGTGCCTGCATCCCATATCAGACTGCTGGGTTGAGTTCTTGCTACTCCACACTTCCAATCCAGCTTCCTGCCAATTTTCCTGGGTACCTGATGGCCCTTGTACCCGGGTTCCTTCTTTACATATAAGAGACCTAGATGGACTTTCTGGCTTCTGGCTTCAGCCTGGTCCAGCCCCAGCTGTTGTGGGCATTTGGTGAGTGAACCAGCAGATGGAAGATATCTCTTCCATTTCTCTCTCTGTCACTCTTCCTTTCAAATAAATAAATAAATCTTAACAACAAAAATAGAAACAGCCTAGATTAGTAATTAGATGTCATTCAATAAGGAACTCATTTAGAAAATAATATACATCCTCACAGTGGGATGTTGTGCTCAACCATAGTAAAAAAGCCCTTGACTAATAGAGGGAGGAAATCCAGTGTATCCTAAGTGAAAAAAAGCAGAGTACGGAGGCGTGTGGTGAGCGTTATCATCTGTGTAAGAAAGGGGAAGGAGATGGAACATGTAGTCGCCCTGTGTGTGCAGCATAGGTGCTGTATATATCACGCAGTGTCGCTGAGAGATACATGAGCATCTGCTAACACTGCTTCCAGGGAAGGGGGACCAAGGGCCTTGAGGACGAGGACAGGAGGAAGATGGGGCCAGCGCTGTGCGCAGTGGGTCAAGCCTGTGCCTGCAGTGCCGGCATCCCAAATGGGCACCGCTTTGAGTCGCGGCTGCTCTTCTTCTGATCCAGCTCCCTACTGATGGCCTGGGAAGGCAGTAGAAGATAGCCCAAGTTCTTGGCCCCTGCACTAGTATAGAAGAACTGGAAGAAGCTCCTGGCTTCGGATCAGACCAGCTCCAGCTGTTGCAGCTATTGGGGAATGGACCAGCGGATAGAAAACCTTTCTCTCTGCCTCTCAAATAAATAAATTTAAAAAAAAAAGGAGGAAAACTTCACTTTATCTTTTTTGTACTTTTTTTGGTAAAGATTTATTTATTTATTTGAAAGTCAGAGTTACACAGAGAGAGAAGGAGAGGCAGAGAGAGAGGTCTTCCATCCACTGGTTCACTCCCCAGTTGGCCACAGTGACCAAGTTGGGCCCATCCAAAGCCAGAAGCCAGGAGCTTCTTCCAGATCGCACATGCAGGTGCAGGGGCCCAAGGACTTGCGCCATCTTCTACAGCTTTCCCAGGCCATAGGAGAGAGCTGGATCCGAAGAGGAGCAGCTGGGATATGAACAGTTGCCCATATGGATGCCAGCACTGCAGGTGGTGACCCTACCCGTTACACCACATTTTTACAAATGGTTATATGTCTAAGAAAAACATGACATACTCAGTTGTTAACTGTTTGAAATAAAGAAAAACGATGAACTGTCATTCAGGGATCAGGATTCAGAGATGAGCATAGCTTATCTTGGAGAACTTTTACTTTGGATTCCAGTATTGCTATTAGATTTAACTGCCCCAACGACTAATACTGGAGACAGTTGCCTTTAAAATATGTGGACTTTCTTTGCGTTGCTAGTAGTTGTTCTCCCTGTTTTTCGTTTAGACCAGTTTGTGTACTGGTCTAAACTTCTGCCTGGTAGTTCTACTTGTTATATTATTTGGAGCAAAGGAGATACAGTCTTTAAGGCAATCCAGTATTTATTAAGTTGTGAATATTAATGGCAGTTGGTGAAGATTCCTGCAAGTTCATCGGTTTCTCTGAACGCTTTCCCTTCTCGTTCTGTAGTCGGCTGCCTCTGTGAAGAAGATTTTGTGTGAAGCCCCTGTGGAATCTGTGGTGCAGGTGTCTGGGACAGTTGTTGCTCGACCTCCAGGACAAGAGAATCCCGTTAGTATATGAGGAACTGCTCCCTCTGTTTTGTCTGTGTGCATCTTCACTGTTTGTGTGGACATTCAGGCCGCGCTAAGAACCTGTCAGACGCTAGGTATACACGTTACCTCACTACAAACAAACCTACAGATTCCAGAATCTTCGCTACAAACACAAACCTGCATAAATGCGTGCCAAGACATTTGTTGGTATCTCAGCATATCAGTAATAGATATGCATAAGAATGTCAAAATCGTTTACAGACATTTGTGCTTTAGGTGATACACTATAACAACCTAAACAGTTTATGAGGACAGGGTTAGGAGGAAACTTTGCACAGTTTACGTAAATAAATGCATGTCTTTTATATAGAAATTGTCTTTATGTACTGATGTGCATTACTGATAAAATGATTTTTAAAATATGTCTTTTCTGTCTTCTCTCTTTAAGAAAATGCCAACAGGTGAGATTGAAATCAAAGTTAAAACGGCTGAGCTTCTGAATTCCTGCAAGAAACTACCCTTTGAAATTAAGGACTTTGTGAAGGTGCCATCCTCTGTCTTTAATTAAATAGGGTATCTAGAAAATGTTGATGACCAGCAAAGTATTTTCAGACTTTCTTAGAAGTCTAACTTCTACAAAATTAAGCCTTTTCTTATAGCTGTATCATGAATTATTCTGTTCTACAATTAAATATATATATATATTTACTTGAAAGAGTTACAGATCAAGAGGGAGGTAGAGAGAGAAAGCACTTCCATCCTCTGGTTCACTTCCCAAATGGCCGCAATGGCCTGGGCTGAGCCAGGCTGAAGCCAAAAGCTTCCTCTGGGTCTCCCACGTGGGTGGCAGGGACTCAGGCACTTGGGCCACCTTCCACTGCTTTTCCCAGGCCATTAGCAAAGAGCTGGATCAGACATGGAACAGCTGGGACAAGAACTGATGCCCATATGGGATGCCAGCGTCACAAGTGACAGCTTTCCCTGCTGTGCCACAATGCCTGTACTAGTTCTATAATATTTTAAATGATTTACTTATTTAAAAGGTAAAGCAACAAGAGAGAGGCAGAAACAGGGACAGAGAGCTTCCATCCACTGGTTGACTCCCCAAATGCCCACAACAGCCAGGGCTGAGCCAGTCTGAAGCCAGGAAGCTGGAACTCAACCCAAGTCTCCCAAATGAGTGGCAGGAACCAAATAACTTGAGCCATGACCTGCTGCCACCCAGGTGCACATTAGAAGAAACTGGTCTGGGGGCAGAGCTGGGGTTCTTACCCAGGGACTCCAGTACGGGACGCAGGTGTCCCAGATGCTGCTTCTCCACTGACCAGCGTCTGCCCTGGTGTGCTCTTCTTATACTTACAGTTCATTCAGCTGTTGCAGTGTCTTGCTTTGTTTTTTAGTTTGAAACACAGATCTCCCATCCAGTGGCTCATTCTTCAAATGCCCACAACACCCAGGTTGGGCAAATCCAGGAGCTGGGAACTCAATCCAGGTCTCCTCTGGCGGTGGCAGGGACCCAGCTAAGCCAGCTGCTTCCCAGGGTGCACATTAGCAGGAGCTGGAATCCAGACTAGAACCCACACATTCTAATATGGTGTGCAGGCATCCCAAGTGGCACCTTTTTTTTTTTTTAAGATTTATTTATTTATTTGAAAGGCAGAGTTACAGAGAGAGAGAGAGAGAGAGAGAGAGAAACTGATCTTCCATCAGCTGGTTCACTCTCCAAATGTCCACAATAGCTGGAGCTGGGCTGATCTGAAGCCAGGAGCCAGGAGCTTCTTCCAGGTCTCCCACCTGGGTGCAGGGGCCCAAAGAGTTGAGCCATCTTCTGCTGCTTTCCCAGGTACATTAGCAGGGAGCTGGATCAGAAGTGGAGCAACCAGAACTCGAACTGGCACCATATGGAATGCTGATACTGTAGGCAGTGGCTTTACCTGCTATGCTACAGCACCAGCCCCCCAAGCAGCATCTTAACTGCTGTGCCAAACACTCTCCTTACCTAGACTGTTTTTTCAGACAGGTTGAAACCTGATTCTATGTTTAATTAACTAAGACTTGAACTGTTACCTTATTTGAGTTTTTTGGTTGCTATTTTACATTTTAAAATAAAATTTTTATCTAGCTTAGAAATAACTAAATGGCATAATGGAGCCTATTAAGCCTCTGGCAGTGATAAATATTTCCTTAGAGCAACTCTTGACTTCCCAAGCATTTAGGATATTCTTTTAAAAAGTTATTTATTTTGTTTGAAAGACATAGTTAGAGAGAAGGAGAGACAGAAGTCTTCCATCTGCTGATTCACCCCCTAAACGGCTGCAACAGCCAGGGATGGGCCAGGCCAAAGCCAGGGGCGTCTTCCAGGTCTCCCACCTGGGTGGTAGGTGGCCCAACCACTCAGGCCATCTCCCACTGCATGCGGAGGATTAACCTACTGTGCCACAGCACCAGCCCGTTGACATATCTTTTAAAAGATCTTTGAAATCCATAACTTTTTTTCAAGATTCAACTGTGGGCTTAAATGAATGGAAAACCATTTAGTAATGTAGATAAATTTTAGTCGGTGAAAGGTGATGCTAATAATAATGAATAGTAAAAAAGTGTAAAATCTGTAGTAATAGCAAACTTAGGATGGCCGTATATAGTGTATATACAAATGGCAATGGCATTCCATTGGGTTCCTTAAGATAGAAGCTACAGACAGAGCTGAAGTTTTTGAAAAATTCAAGCACTAATTTTAAAGATAATACTTTTCTAATAATCAAACAATTTGAATATGAATATCTTTCACTTTGTTTAGAAAACAGAAGCTCTGCGTTTGCAGTATCGCTACTTAGACTTGCGCAGTTTCCAAATGCAGCGTAACCTGCGTCTGAGGTCCCAGATGGTCATGAGAATGCGGGAGTATCTCTGCAACCTGCATGGTAAGGAGGGGCCTCAGTGCTCCCCAGAACGCTGGCATCTCCGCTCTTTGTTAGTGATTTTATGGTATCCTGGCCTTCAGGTTCTATATCTGGAATTCACTCAGTGTTCAGAGCAGTATTTGAGAGTCCTAGACCGTAATTTAGTAACCTGTTCCCTGCTGGGTCACAGATACATCCTCTGAAACATGTTGGCGCCTGTGACCCTGCTGGGTGTATTTCCTGTCACTTTTGAAGGCAGAGTAGCCCTAGGTTTGTTTCTACAGTACAAGTTTTCTTAGTTCTTTATTATGCTTACACATCACTTGTGGCAAGCTTGGAAATGTCCTGTGAATTAAACTAAACACCTCGAACAATCCTGGATTTTTTCTTTCTGCTTTATTTATGTTATTTTTGCTACACTAGCAGGGCATGTAGGAAACCAGAATAGTTCAGTAGATAACCCATCAAATATTTAGAATTTCAAAAGTATCAAATTTATGAACAGAATAAGATTTCATGAGAAGCTGTTAGCTACCTTCTTAGATTTGTAGAAACTAACATCTGTAATTAAAGAGGAGAAACTAACATCTCTAATTAAAGAGGAGCCCCATTTGTTGGCCTATAATTATCATATGTTACCAATTCCAAATTCCTATCAAAATCTGATGTTTCTCTGTTTTCTAGGATTTATAGATATAGAAACCCCAACACTGTTTAAGAAGACACCAGGGGTATGTATATCCCTTAAATTAGTCTACTAATAATGACTTGGTAGTTATGAAACTGGGCCATTTTGCTTTTATATTCAGATAGTACACTTTTTTTATTTATTGCTTCATCATATCAAAATAACTAGGATTCTTTAAAAATAGAGAAAATTATATGTTTCAGTATTTTTAGTCAGAATCCTTTATCTCACATGAGTTTTATTTCCCTTGTTGTCTAGCAATATGAATCATTAATTAATTGGCTTCTTAAAAACAGATCCCTGGGGCCGGCGCCGCGGCTCACTAGGCTAATCCTCCGCCTAGCGGCGCCGGCACACCAGGTTCTAGTCCCGGTCGGGGCGCCGGATTCTGTCCCGGTTGCCCCTCTTCCAGGCCAGCTCTCTGCTGTGGCCAGGGAGTGCAGTGGAGGATGGCCCGAGTGCTTGGGCCCTGCATCCCATGGGAGACCAGGATAAGTACCTGGCTCCTGCCATCAGATCAGCGCGGTGTACCGGCCGCAGCGCGCCAGCCACGGCGGCCATTGGAGGGTGAACCAACGGCAAAAGGAAGACCTTTCTCTCTGTCTCTCTCTCTCACTGTCCACTCTGCCTGTCAAAAGAAAAAAAACAGATCCCTGTTCATTAACAGTTGACATTTCTGAGCGATGTTTATCCAAACTATGGACTCATAAAAGTACTGCTTGATATGGAAAAGCAGTTAGGGATTATTTGACTAGGACATGATACACAAAATTGAGCCAATAATAAAATTGGGAATTCAGTTCAGCAGGCATACATTTAATACCTACTGCTACAGCAGTCATTTGAAGTCTGTTGTATGCAAGTCTGCAAGTGCTTAGGGACTGACTGCAGAGCTACAAATTCTCTGCCATAGGAACTGTGCTCTTCAGTGAAGTCCATTGATGAACTGAAGTGTTAATTCTCTTAGACAGTTATACCTTGTTTGTTTCCATTTTCTTTTTCTTTCTTTTGTGTGTTTTTTTTTGTTTGTTTGTTTTTTAATAATGTCTCTGCTTTCCCTGTCTCTCTTTGAAAGGGTGCCAAAGAGTTTTTAGTGCCATCCAGGGAGCCTGGAAAGTTTTATTCCCTCCCTCAGAGTCCTCAACAGTTTAAGCAGCTTCTGATGATTGGCGGCTTCGACAGGTGAGCTTTTTCCTACACTAGTAGTTGTCAGAAAAAGGAAAAGGAAACGTGAAATTATCTGATCTCTGAAGAGGAGAGAAAACCAGTGAGTTCAGAGAATACTTATGAAATACTCTGAACATTTGCAGTGATCTTTAGGGAAGATTGTGGTGCCACATGCACAAACAGCTCGATGCTGGAAGATGTAGCCGGGGTCCTGCGCGTGAGCAGTTAGACTCATAAGACAGAAGGGAACAATGAATTAACAAGAACTGTGAAATTGAGCATATTATAGATGCATTGAGATTCACAAACTCGATATTAAGAGATTTGAAATTATCTCCCTTGGAAAGAGTGCAGGAAGCGTGCGCGCTGACCTTCAAGGGCAGAGCTGCACTGCAGCAGGTGAAGGGGGGTTGCCATGGCAGAGCACAGGAGGGTGCGGGGGTGCTCCAGGCAGTGAGGGTTTCAGTTTGGCCGGAGCAGAAGAATGTATGTGAAGAAACGGGGACGGCTGTGCCAACTACGTTGCGTGAATATCCCTAGATACCAGTGTATATTTAGAAATAAGTATATGTGATGGTGAGCCTCGTGGGTCAGCTGCGTGTCTAGTTAGAGTAAAGCATCATAAGGAACTGTAAATTTTCTTGACTTTTCAGAATCACTATCAGTTTATTTCATATCTTGCACTGCCATAGTCTTTGGAGAAAAGTGCACGTATCTTCCTAGAATCCTAACTCGATTAATACTATTTCAATTGTAGGTATTTTCAGGTCGCTCGATGTTACCGAGATGAAGGTTCAAGACCAGATAGACAGCCCGAGTTTACTCAGGTACTAAGTTAGATTCACTTGTGTTTTCCAAATTCAGGCTTACTACAGCTAAGTATTGTCAAGATGAGGACGGCGGTTTATGTACTTTATTTCCCGTTACATTTTATCCATGATACTTAATTAAAGTAACCTGCTATGGTCATCCACTGAAGAATGCTACAGATTCCTACAGTTTTGTTTTATTAATTTACTTGTTTATTTAATTTTAATTTGTGCTGGGTTTTGTTATTTTTTTAAAATATTTATTTATTTGAAGGCAGAGTTAGAGAGAGGGAGAGTCAGACAGAGAGAGATCTCCCTCTCTCTTCTGTTTACTGGTGCACTCCCCAAATGACTGTAACAGCCAGGGCCGGGCTAGGCCAGGCTGAACCCATGAACCAGGAGCTTCTTCCAGATCACCCACATGGGTGCAGGGGCCCAAGTATTTGGGCCATCCTTTACTGCTTTCCCATTAGCAGGGAGCTGGATCAGAAGTGGAGCAGCTTGGACTTGAACCAGTGCCCATATGGGATGCCGGCATTGCAGACAGTGGCTTAATCTGCTATGCCACGCCAGCCCCTTTTAAATTTATTTTTTGCAGATTAGCAAAGGGATATCATTTATTACCAAAGGAAAAGGTAATAAAACTAAACTCAAGAGAGAATGCAGGCCTGCTCCAGAGTGAGCTGCCTCCTTTAGTGTTTTAATGTTCATGAAATGATAAAGTTCTTAAATCTGCTGAATATTAAGAACCAGTAATTCTGTGTATTGCTATTTATCTTATCTATGGATTTATCAAGGCTATAGGTTTGGTTTCTGTATGAAAGTATATTATTCAGTGTAGGCCAGCACCACAGCTCAATAGGCTAATCCTCCACCTGTGGCGCCGGCACACCGGGTTCTAGTCCCGGTCGGGGTGCCGGATTCTGTCCCGGTTGCCCCTCTTCCAGGCCAGCTCTCTGCTGTGGCCCGGGAGTGCAGTGGAGGATGGCCTAAGTCCTTGGGTCCTGCTCCCGCATGGGAGACCAGAAGCACCTGGCTCCTGGCTTCAGATCAGCGCACCCCATGGGAGACCAGGAGAAGCACCTGGCTCCTACCTTCGGATCAGCACGGTGCACCGGCCGCAGGAGCCATTGGAGGGTGAACCAACGGCAAAAGGAAGACTTTTCTTTCTCTCTCTCTCTCACTGTCCACTCTGCCTGTCAAAAACATTAAAAAAATATATATATATATATTATTCAGTGTAATGAAGTACAAAATTCATAGTTAGACACACCTGAGGTTGAATGTGCATTCACTGCTTACTAATAGTACACACACAAGGGAATTATTTTGCCTCTGTGAGTGAGCCATAAGTTATAGAAACTAAACAAGTATAAGGTGTTAGCGCAGTGCCTGACATGAAACAGATGTACAATAAAACGTGCTGTCCATGTATGCAGTGTGTGCAGAATCCCATAGAACCTGAAAGCAGGGAAATGTATACATTATGGCTGCTCAAGTTCATTCCCATATGTTATTTTGGTTTCAGATTGACATAGAGATGTCTTTTGTAGACCAGACCGGGATCCAGCAGTTAATCGAGGGTTTGCTGCAGTACTCCTGGCCCAGTGACAGAGGTGCAGTGGCGCTTCCCTTTCCTTCTATGACTTTTGCCGAAGCATTGGCCACATATGGAACTGATAAACCTGACACTCGCTTTGGAATGAAGGTACTTCACCTCTCTAGGGCTCTGCCCCAAGTAGTGCTGCAGTCTTTTAAACCATTTTAAAATTTACAAGTGTTACAATGTGTTGCATCATATTCTTTGTTGTTGCTGTAACAAGAGAGAATAGAAGCGGGCACTGTGGCGTAGTAGGCTAAGCCACCACCTGCAGCACAGGCATATGGACACCGGTTCTTGTCCCAGCTTCTCCTCTTCTGACCCAGCTCTCTGCTATGGCCTGGGAAAGCAGTGGAAAATGACCCAAAGCTTGGGCCCCTGCACCGCATGGGAGGACCCGGAAGAAGCTTCTGACTCCTGACTTCAGATAGGCTCAGCACCAGCCATTGCAGCCATTTGGGGAGTGAACCAGTGAATGGAAGACCTCTCTCTGTCTCTCCCTCTATCTCTGTAACTCTGCCTTTCAAATGAATAAATACATCTTTAAAAAAAAAAGATAGGGGCTGGCACTGTGGCGCAGTGGGTTAACGCCCTGGCCTGAAGTACCGTTATCCCATATGGGCGCCGGTTCTAGTCCCAGCTGCTCCACTTCCGATCCAGCTCTCTGCTGTGGCCTGGGAAAGCAGTGGAGGATGGCCCAAGCCCTTGGGCCCCTGCACCTGCATAGGAGACCTGGAAGAAGCTCCTGGCTTCAGATCGGCGCAGCTCCGGCCATTGTGGCCATTTGGGGAGTGAACCATTGGATGGAAGACCTCTCTCTCTCTTTCTGTCTCTTTCTGCCTCTCCTCTCTCTGCCTCTCCTCTCTCTCTGTAACTCTGACTTCCAAATAAATAAAAAGATCTTTAAAAAATAGAGAACAACAGTGCTTTAGCATTCTAATGCTTTTTTTGTATCTGCTATTTTCCAAAGCCAACGTTTTATTATAGTACTTACAACTGTTAAAGCTATTCTTTCCCTTTTTTTTTTTTTTTTAATTTTTTTCACTAAAATGATGCTGGGAAGGCAAGGGATTAAGAGTTTTCTTTTGGGCCGGCACCGCGGCTCACTAGGCTAATCCTCCGCCTTGCGGCGCCGGCACACCGGGTTCTAGTCCCGGTCGGGGCGCCGGATCCTGTCCCGGTTGCCCCTCTTCTAGGCCAGCTCTCTGCTGTGGCCAGGGAGTGCAGTGGAGGATGGCCCAGGTCCTTGGGCCCTGCACCCCATGGGAGACCAGGATAAGCTCCTGCCATCGGATCAGCGCGGTGCGCCAGCCGCAGCGGCCATTGGAGGGTGAACCAACGGCAAAAGGAAGACTTTTCTCTCTGTCTCTCTCTCTCTCACTGTCCACTCTGCCTGTCAAAAAAAAAAAAAAAAAAAAAAAGAGTTTTCTTTTCCCTAATGTGTAAAGAGCTCAAACGTGAGAATATTTATTCAGTTTCTTTTTATTTACTTGAGAGGCAGACAGACAAATCTCTGATCCACTGTTTGCTCCTCGAATGCCTGCAATGGCGGGGGGTGGGGCCCGGCCCAAGCTGGAAGTTGGGGATGGACCCGGGTCTCTCGTGGGTGGAGAAACCCAAGTGCTTGGCTATCACTGCTGTCTCCCCAGGTCTGTGTTACTGGGAAATCAGTCAGCAGTAGAACCTGGGCACTTTGTACCTTAAGCACTAGAGTAAATGCCCACTCTCTATTCAAATTATTAATACCTATCAATATCAGTATTTAAGGGGGGAGGTTGAGTAGTTTCATTACCAGGAATCCCAGTGTTCCTTCAGAACAGTCTCCCTTGATCTCTATAATGACATTTCTGTATCTCATTTCTTAGTACAAATGCCTTATAGATTGAATTCTGCCTGGTCTATGAATAATTGGTACTCAATTTTAAATGAAAAATATGTAATACATACAAAGTCATTACCTGCCTACATATAGCTACTACCTTCACTCTGTTTCTTTATAATTTTTTTTTTTTAATTTTTTGACAGGCAGAGTGGACAGTGAGAGAGAGAGAGAGAGAGAGAGACAGAGAGAAAGGTCTTCCTTTTGCCGTTGGTTCACCCTCCAATGGCCGCCGCGGCCAGCGCGCTGCGGCCAGCGCACCGCGCTGATCCGATGGCAGGAGCCAGGAGCTAGGTGCTTTTCCTGGTCTCCCATGGGGTGCAGGGCCCAAGCACTTGGGCCATCCTCCACTGCACTCCCAGGCCACAGCAGAGAGCTGGCCTGGAAGAGGGGCAACCGGGACAGGATCCGGCGCCCCGACCGGGACTAGAACCCGGTGTGCCGGCGCCGCTAGGCGGAGGATTAGCCTAGTGAGCCGCGGCGCCGGCCTCTTTATAATATTGAATAGTGGTTCTTAGGCAGACTGATTGCAGTAAATTCTTTTTTTTTTTTTTTAAGATACATTTATTTATTTGAAAGGCAGAGTTACAAAGACAGAGGGAGAGACAGAGAGAGGTCTTCCATCTGCTGGTTCACTCCCCAAACAGCCACAAAGGTCAGGGCTGGGCCAGGCTGAAGCCAGGAGCCTGGAACTCCATTCAGCTCTCCTATGTGGGTGGCAGGGCCCACCCCAAATGGCAGCAATGGATGGTTGGACCAGACCAAAGCCAGGAACCTAGAATTTCATCCAGGTCTCCCACATGGGTGGCAGAGGTTCAAGTACTAGGGCCATGCTCTGCTGCTTTCCCAGACGTTAACAGGGAGCTGGACAGGAAGTGGAGCAGCAGGGACTTGAACCAGCGTTCATATGGGATGCCAGCATTGCAGGTGGTGGCACTGTACCACAGCACTAGCCCCTATTCTCTTCTTTTAAACTCTTATTTGTAAAATGTTTTAATATAAAAATGACTTCAGGCTTAGTTATCCCTTTTTGTCATCCATCTTCCAGATTATAGATATCAGTAATGTGTTTAGAAACACAGAGATTGGATTTCTTCAAGATGCGCTGAGTAAGCCCCAAGGAACTGTCAAAGCCATATGTGTCCCTGGAGGAGCAGTAAGTGAAGCACAATTCTGTTTTCTCTGAAATGGATATTTTGGCAGTAAATGTATTCAGCACTGACACATTTAAACTTCGGGAAGAACAGTCCCTTTAATTAAAACTACGTGTTTTTGTGTGAAGTGTAACAGTGCCTCTAAAACTATAATGTGAAAACAGTAAAACTTCATTAACGTTAGTTTGAAAAAAGTCAAAAACTTTTCTCTCTTTTAAGTAATGCTACAAAGTACTACCATACTTCGTGTGGGATATGTTGTTTGGTAATATTTTGAACATAAAATAGTATTCAGTGTTCTCTTTCCAGCCGCAGTTTATCCAAAGACTTTGAGTCCCTTTTCAGCATAGCCCTATCATGTTGATTCTTGGTTTCCTGAGAGTTCTGATATTAATTGCATCAACAACAGGAGGAGAAAAGGAAGGGGTGATAGAAGAGGGAGAAGGAGAGAAAGCCTAGATCTGAAGTAATGGGACGTGTCTGTTTTTTGCAGCTACTATACCTGCTTTGAGAGTGATTTAATCAGCAGAGTTCCAGTACCATTTTGAGTGAGGTTACTGTACTCATCTGGGTACATACGCACACTGCTTCATCCAGAATGGGAGTAGGCATGCAACTCATGACCTTTGCTCCACGTCTGTGTTCGTGGAAAGTAATCTGGTGTCCCTACTCTGCTGTAAACGTAACAGATGAGTGGGGGTAAGCACGGTACAGCACACTGCGAATTACTGTTTACCCCTCTGCTCCACCCAGGTCAGCAGAACTGCAGGAGTGTGAATCAATTTCACCTTCTTGTACCTCTCATACATTGTTAAATGCCTCATAAATACAGTCACTATGATAACTATAGTGTCTCACTTAGAAAGACATTGAGATAGTTTAGAAAAAGTAAGATTCAAGAATTTTAGGAGACTTGAAATAATCAGAATCTGAATGTGATTGACCCAAAAGTTGTTTTTGTCTTTCTCAATTCACTTGTAGACTTGTTTTGCACACTTACCCTCTGTATTCTTGTGTGGAATTCAATCACAACTGTTTCCCATGACATCTGTATAACTGGGAAATAGTAAGTCCCATAAGAAGCTTTGAATATTTGTCATCTGGCAGCTGACATTAAATTTTTATGAAATCCGAGCCGGCGCCGTGGCTCAATAGGCTAATCCTCCACCTTGCGGCGCCGGCACACCGGGTTCTAGTCCCGGTCGGGGCACCGGATTCTGTCCCGGTTGCCCCTCTTCCAGGCCAGCTCTCTGCTATGGCCAGGGAGTGCAGTGGAGGATGACCCAGGTGCTTGGGCCCTGCACCCCATGGGAGACCAGGAAAAGCACCTGGATCCTGGCTCCTGCCATCGGATCAGCGCGGTGCGCCGGCTGCAGCGGCGGCCATTGGAGGGTGAACCAACGGCAAAGGAAGACCTTTCTCTCTCTGTCTCTCTCTCACTGTCCACTCTGCCTATCAAAAATAAATTAAAAAAAAAAAAAATAAATAAATAAATTTTTATGAAATCCCACAGAATATATTTGTGTCCCATTTGGTATCCTAAACATTTAGGAAACGAGGTGCCCTATTGATGAGTTTACTTTTTCTTTCATCAGAAATACTTGAAAAGAAAAGACATTGAATCCATTAGAAAATTTGCAGTTGACCATTTTAATCAGGTAAGGAGTTAATTAGAGCAGTTTCCTTTTGGGTATTCAAGATTTTTGATAATTAATGGGCTCTCAAGCTATCATTGTTTGTGTGTGTGCATTTGTGTGTGTTTTATTTATTATTATTTATGTTTTTGAAAGAGTATCAGAGAAATAGAAATCTTCCATCCGATGATTGACTCCCCAAATGGCCACCAAGAGCAAGGTGTGGGCCAAGCTGAGACTGGAAGCCAGAACTCCATCCTAGTTTCCCACATGCGTGACAGGGGCCCAAGCACTTAGATTGTCTTCCACTGCCTACCCAGGCACATTAGCAAGGAGTTGGATCTGGTGCTATGGCATAGCTGGTAAAGCCTCCACCTGCAGGGCTGACATCTCATCTGGGCACCGGTTCAAGTCCTGGCTGCTCCACTTCCTGATCCAACTCTCTTCCATGGCCTGGGAAAGCAGCAGCAGAATGCCCAAATCCTTGGGCACCTGCACCCATGTGGGAAACCCAGACAAAGCTCCTGGCTCCTGGTTTAGGATCGGTGCAGCTCCAGCTGGTGCAGCCATTTGGGGAGTGACCCAGTGGATGGAAGACCTCTCTCTCTCTGCCTCTCCTCTCTCTGTGTAACTCTTTCAAATAAATAAATAAATAAATCTTTAAAAAAAGAAGAAGAAGAAGAAGTAGAGCAGCCAGTATTTGAATCAGCACTCTGATAGGGGATGTAGGCATCAAGGAGATGTGGGCATCGCAAGCATTGACTTAACCCGCTATACCACAGCACTGGCTCTACTTTGAGACCCTTGTTACTTTAAATCATTCTTATGTTTTTCTTCTATTCATTTTTAAAGTTAATCTTACCTCTGAGTATAAGTCTTCAGACTTCAACTTAAATGGTCTAACTCAGCATTACTCAGAATGTGACGGCAGGCATTCGGCATAATGGCTGGGACACTATGAGATGCCTGGATCCTATATTGAGTGCCTGGGTTCAAGACTCAGCCCAGTTTCCAGTTCCAGCTTCCTGCTAAGGTGCACGCCAAGAGTCAGCAGATGATGGCTTAAGCCGTCCATGTGGGAGACCAGGATTGTGTTCCAAGTTCCTGGCTTCAGCCTGGCCCTAGATGTTGTGGGTCTTTATAGAAGGAACCAGCAAATGGAACATACACACTCACTCACTCTCTCTCCCCCCTTCTATTTTTTTTAAGATTGATTTATTTCTTTGAATGGCAGAGTTACAGAGAGGCAGAGGCAGAGAGAGAGAAAAGTCTTCCATCTGCTGGTCCACTCCCTAAGTGGCTGCAGCAGCCAGAGCTACGCCGATTCAAAACCAGGAGCTTCCTCCAGGTCTCCTGAGCTATTGTGACTATTTATTTTATTTTTTTAAGATTTATTTATTTAATGTTTATCTTAGACTTTTTTTTCTTAGGATAGATTTATTTATTTGAAAAGAAGAGTGAGAAAGAAAGGGAGAGACAGGGAAAGAGATCTTCCATCCACTTGTTCACTCCCTAAATGACCACAATGACCAGGGCTGACCCAGGCCAAAGCCAGGAGCCTGGAACTCCCTCTGGGTCTTCCGTGTGAATGGCAGGAGCCCAAGTCCTTTGGCCATCTTTCGTTAGCAGTAAGCCTGATAGAAAGCGGAGCATACAGGACTCAAACCTGCACTCCAGATGGGATGCTGGCATTGCAAGTGATGGCTTAACCCTCTGCACCACAACATGGCCCCTTTGTTTTGTTTTGAATGCTGCAGTTTCTTCAGTGTTTGGTAATTTTCGGTTTTGCGCACATACTTAAGGCATGTTCAAAGCTGGCTGGCAGCACAGGATCCTTGGGAGGCCTGTATGAATGGTTAGGTTAATTGTGGGTGCACACAAAGGCCTCCGGCTCTCACACCACACTCATAACCCAAAGCCTGCGTGTGCTAAGCCTCTCCAGGATTCTGCAGGGTAAAAGCAGCTCCTTTTGTTTGTTTGTTTGTTTTAACTTATTTATTTGAGAGGCAGAGAAATCTCGCAACCACTGATTCTCAAACACCTACAACAACCAGAGTGGGGCCAGACCAAAGCCAGGAGACAGTAATTCAATCCAGGTCTCTCCTGTAGGTGGCAGGGTCCCAAGTACTTTAGCAATCACCTGCTGCCTCCTGGGGCACACATCAGCTGGAAAGCTAGATTTGGAAGCAGACAGGACTCAAACCCAGGCACTCCAGTATGGGATGCAGATGTAATTGGTTGGTCAAACACACACTGCTGATTCTACTTCTTAGAAAAATGTGAATAAGTCTTTTTTCTTGATCACAGGAAGTCTTACCTGTATTTCTGAAAACCAGTATAAACTGGAATTCTCCAGTAGCTGAATTGATAATGGAGGAACAAAGATTGGAATTTATCAGACTAATGCAAGTCCAAGAGGATGATGTGATCCTCCTAACTGCTGGAGAGCATCAGAAAGCGGTAAGAAAAATCACCCGTAAATATCTGTGCTCCTGATGTTGAATGATGTCTCTTTTCTCATGAGTATACATGTGTTTGAAACTGTTTAGTAAAATGGAGCTGCTGTGCATAGTTGTTATATTAGCAAATATCTTTCAGTACTTTATAATGAAGTCTATAAAAACACTTTTTTTTTTTAAGATTTATTTATTTATTTGAAAGGCAGAGTTACAGAGAGGCAGAGGCAGAGAGAGAGAGAGAGAGAGTCTTCCATCCGTTGATTCACTCCCCAGATGGCTGCAACAGCTGGAGCTACACTGATCCGAAGCCCGGAGCTTCTTCCAGGTCTCTCATGCGGTACAAAGGCCCAAGGACTTGAGCCATCTTCTACTGCTTTCCCAGGCCGTGGCAGAGAGCTGGATTGGAAGTGGAGCAGCTGGGACTCAAATCAGCACCCATATGGGATGCCGGCACTGCAGGCAGTGGCTTTCCCTGCTCTGCCACAGCACCAGCCCCTGAAATTTTTTCTTGTAACTTCTTACTTCTGTTGACATTATTCACTCAGATTAGATTCTGATTAGATCTGACCGATTGGGCGCACCCACCGAGGGCCGGCGGTGAGAATTGGCTTTTTTTTTTTTTTTTTTTTTTTTTAGATGTATTTATTTGGAGTTGCAGAAAGAGGTGAGACAAAGACAGAAAAAGAGAAGTCTTCCATCTCCTGGTTCACTCCCCAAATGGCCAGAACTGAGCTGATCCAAAGCCAGGAGCCAGGAGCTTCTTCCAGGTTTCCCATGCAGGTGCAGAGGGCCAAGGATGTGGGCCATCTTCTTCTGCTTTCCCAGGCCATAGTAGAGAGCTAGATTGGAAGTGTAGCAGCTGGGACTTGAACCAGCGCCCATATGGGATGCCGGCACTGCAGGCCAGGGCTTTAACCTGCTGCACCACAGCACTGGCCCCTGTTGGTTTGAATCGTACAACCATGAAAAAATACTGTCGGGTCCAGCGCTGTGGCTTAAGCAGGTTAAGCCTCCACCTGTGATGCTAGCATCCTATATGGGCACCAATTCGAGTTTTAGCTGCTCCACTTCTGATCTAGCTCCCTGCTAATGGCCTGGGAAAGTAATGGAAGATGGCCTAGGTGCTTGGTCCCCTGTACCCATGTGGGAGACCCAAAAGAAGCTCCTGGCTTCAGCCTGACACAGCCCCGGCCATTACAGCCATTTGGGGAGTGAAACATCGGAGGAAACCCCACCCCCCTCTCTCTGTAACTCTACCTTTCAAATAAATAAAAAATGAATCTTTTTTAGACTGTTTTGTGCATGACGTATTCCTGAAACTGTGGAGGGAAAGATTGGGGGCTGCAGAGATGGCAGACTCCCCTGCAGCAGCCTGCGCAGGGCAAGTCGTGTTTCCTGGAAGCAGCAGCTGTAGTGTGAGCACTGCTAGCGCTGGCTGAGTCGCCATCCTCAGGGCCCACGTGAGTTAGCCTGAAGGGTCTTTAAAATAGACAGAAGTGTAAAGGCCACACTTCATACAAGTTCATTCTTTCATTATGCTGTACAGTTTCTTTGGAGTGATAGTAGTAATGAGTACTTTATGAAGTTCATGCTTCCAATTTTTATTTGTACTTTTGATAATTTCTTCTAAAGGAAGAGATTCAGAGTGCAGCTTCAAAGCTAAATGGAGTCCACTGTCTTCCCCTTCCCCTGCAGTAGTAGCGTGAAGAAAGCTCTGTAATTACCAATTTTATTATTATTTCTTAGAAAAGAACTTGGGAGCTTGTATTCTATAATATCCTGCTACAAATTAATTTGGCAGTTAAACCTTTTCTTGGTATGAACCACACATGCTGGTGTTCTTTTCTCAAGGAGATACAGTATAATTCCTATTAAATCTTCCTTGGGAGAAAGCTAAAAACCAAATCTATGGAGAGTAACATTCCTACTCTGAAAATGTCACAGTGAGGGTACCCTATGTGGACATTTAAATGTAAGTTGGAGTGAGCCACAGGGTGACACCCTGTGCATGTCTCTGGGCATGTGTCACTGCTCTGTCTTTTCTCAGGGAAACCCTGTCCTATATTGCACTTTAGTTAGCACTTACTAAACTCTTCTTATTTGTCATTACTGTTCTAAGCACTTTGTATATTAATTCTTTTAATCATCATACCAACCCTTCAAGAGATACTACTGCTATTTTGGATAGCTGCATGTCTTATTGGAGTGCCTTGGTTCCAGTGCCAGCCCTACTTCAATCCAGCTTCCTGCTAATTTACACTCTGGGAGGCTGCAGATGATGGCTCAAGTACTTGGGTCTCTGCCACACACATGGGAAGCCCCTGGCTTCAGCCTGGCCCAGTCTCAGGGGTTGCAGGCATTTGGGAGTGAACCAGCAGATAGAAGATCTCTTCCTTTCTCTGTCTTTCAAATAAATAAATAAAAATAATTTTAAAGATAGATAAGAAAACTCAGGGCCAGCATTGTAGCATAGCACGTTAAGCCACTGCCTGCGATGCCAGCATCCCGTGTGGGCATCAGTTCATGTCCCATCTGCTCCGCGTCCAATCTGGCTGCCTGCTCATGGCTTGGGAAAAGCAGTGGGAAATGGCCTAAGTGTCTTGGCCTCTGCCTCCATGTGGGAAGCCCAGATGAAGTCCTAGCTTCTGGCTTCTGCCTGACCTAGCCAGTGAACAGAGACATTCTCTCTCTTTGTCTCTCCCTCTCTAACTCTTTTAAATAAATAAATAAGTCTTAAAAAAATAAAAAACAGTTCGCGTGGCTCCCGGCCCTTGAGAGTTCTTAATTCGCCAAGATGACGAACACAAAGGGAAAGAGGCGAGGTACCCCGTACATGTTCTCCAGGCCTTTCAGAAAACATGGAGTTGTTCCTTTGGCCACATACATGCGCATTTACAAGAAAGGTGACATTGTGGACATCAAGGGAATGGGTACTGTTCAAAAAGGAATGCCCCATAAATGTTACCATGGAAAAACTGGAAGAGTCTACAATGTTACCCAGCATGCTGTTGGCATTGTTGTAAACAAACAAGTGAAGGGCAAGATTCTTGCCAAGAGAATAAATGTGCGTATTGAACACATTAAGCACTCCAAGAGCCGAGATAGCTTCTTGAAACGTGTGAAGGAAAATGATCAGAAGAAGAAGGAAGCCAAAGAGAAGGGTACCTGGGTTCAACTAAAGCGTCAGCCTGCTCCACCCAGAGAAGCCCACTTTGTCAGAACCAATGGAAAGGAGCCTGAGTTGCTGGAACCCATTCCTTATGAATTCATGGCATGATAAATGTAAGATAAATAAATAAGACCTAATTGATTAAAAAAAATAATAATAAAAAAAATAAAAAACAGAAACACAGAGATTAAAACTTTACAGGTATTAAAGAATCCAGATTTCTTATTTAAAAGGCAGTGTGAAAGGGACAGAGATAGGGACAAAGAGAGAGATCGATCTTCCATCCATTTCTTAACTCCCCAGATGCCCACAACATCTGGAGCAAGGCCAGGCCAAAGCCAGGAGCCTGGAGCTCCATCCAGATCTCCCGTGTGGGTGGTGGGGGTGCCAGGGCCTGAGCCATCACTTGCTGCCTCCCAGACACATTAGCAGGGAGCTGGAAGGGCAGCAAGAGAGCGGGGACTCAGAGCACTCCAGTGTGATGTGCACACCCCAGGGAGCGGGGACTCAGCACTCCAGTGTGACGTGCACACCCCAGGTGGTAGCTTAACCACTGTACCACAGCACCTGCCCCAAAGAGCCAGGTTTCTAGCCCATGAAGTCAGGTTCCAAAATTCATAGTCTTAAATTAACTTCTAGTCCAAGTCACCCCTAAAAAACCGCCAGTGTTTGCTTCACAATCACGATGTGTCAGGCAGTCATCAGACCTCACCCAAGCCTTCAAGAGCAGTGAGCAATGACAGCTGCCACTTGCACACTTTGTCTGATGCTGCCCCTCGTGTGCCACGCCTCTCACACTTTAGTCCCCATGTTACGGAAAAGGGTGTAGAGAAGTTACTAAGGGGCTAAGCTGAGATTTGGACTCAGGTCTGTGACGCTCCAATACCTGTGCTGTTAATCACTGACTCTTGCCAGGCACTCACCCAGGAGGCTGTCATCCTCAGACAGGCAGTGTCTCACCTGTTAACTGGCTAATCCTTCATCAGAGAACGGCCTGGCCTCAGAATCCAGGTTGTGGCATTCACTGCCTACTCCATCAAGAGGCTAACCCAGTATTTTTGTCTTCTATCTGCAGTGTTCTTTGTTGGGAAAACTGCGACTGGAATGTGCTGACCTTCTAGAAAAAAAAGGAGTAGTACTCCGTGACCCGGCTCTGTTCTCTTTCCTTTGGGTGGTGGATTTCCCACTCTTCCTTCCCAAGGAGGACAATCCCAGAGAGCTGGAGTCAGCCCACCACCCATTTACTGCTCCTCACCCCAGTGACATCCACCTCCTCTACACTGAGCCCGAAAAGGTACCACTTCTGTACTTCTGAATAAAAGAAATGTGTAAGTATGAATAAAGGCAAAGAACTTAAGATTTCAGTCTTGAGAGGTAGGCCTCAGTTCTGGAAGCCCCAAGAGGAACTGTAAGGCAGAAGTTCACACATGGTCTCCGTGTAGGCTACAGGGTCTAAGCTTTAGAATAGAAAACCGGAAATCTTCTCTAACATGAAGACTGAATTTTCTAGGTCCGGAGCCAGCACTATGACTTGGTGTTAAATGGCAGTGAAATAGGAGGTGGTTCTATCCGAATTCACAATGCAGAGCTGCAGCATTACGTCTTGGCAACGTTGCTAAAGGTAACAGACATGAAACCTGGCCTCATCGTCTTACCAGAGTATTTTGTCGGTTTTGCTAAACACTTGTTATGAATGGAGAATTCTTTAGGGTCAGCTTCTCTCTCTGTAGGACTGATACGCATGGCAGTTAGTGCTTGCTGTATGCCACTCTTTAAGTACTTTATATGCATTGACAGTCAATCCTCACCATTGATTTGAGTCAGATTCTGCTCGTTTTAAAGATGAGAAACTGAGGCAGACCAATCAGCTTGCCCAGAGTCACACAGCTAAGCAAGCAGAGGCAAGATCAGTCCAGCCCCAGCCACTGACCTCTGCACTTCTCAGAAAGTCGCTTTCAGAAACTGGAAATGTAAGATTTAAAAGGATTTGGTATCACTTCGTAGGTTACTGCATTTGCTCTATTATGGTGTGTTTTAGTGACAGAAAGTGGGGGTAATTGGGATTTTACAAAGAAAGAGAAGAGTCCCAGAGATGCAGACCCGCCAGTGTGTAGTTTGCTGGTGCTTGTCTAGAAAGCTAGGGTTGGCTCCAGAAAAGAAAAGGTCACTGTGTGGGATTCACTAACGTGTGTGAGGTAGGATGGGACAACCTTGTGTGTGTGTGTGCGTGGTACCAGAGCACTCAAAACATTCGGCTCCTCCTTTAGCTTAGTGGCACTGGGATTTGTTAACTTGTCTTCTGCTGTACCAGAGCCTCCAGTCAGGGGCTTCTAGCCTCTCATTTGTCAAACTCCCAGAACAGTCAGCAGAAGTCTCTCGCTTTTTCCCTACTCACTGGTGGCTCTCTGCCCCAGTGCACACTGGAATACAGTACCTAGAAGGCATTCAGACAGCGCAGTGATGCCTTGGTCCCACACCAGACTATCATACAAACTTAAAGTGTGAGGTGTTGGCATGTTTCTTTGAAGCTGCCATCCTGCTCCTGATTTGTAGCCTGGTTGGAGAACCAGTTCCACAGATTTTCAACATCTGCAAACTAGCTGCCCCACCAGTTAGTTACCAACTCCACTGCCTGTTCTTGGCACTCGCTCTCTCCTACCTCCCAGCAGTATTTATTTGGCCCTGTTGCCCCTGGTCCCTGTAATAGGACATTGTCCTGCTTTTCATCTTGCCTTTCTGAGCCCATAATCTTCACCTCCTTGATGGGTCTTTCTCTAAGTTTGCATTATCACTACAGTAATTGCTGTATGTACTAAGCACCAAGAATTTTTCTACGTTATTAATCATCTGTGACTTGTCTTATTCTGTGCCAAACTGTATACTTCTTGAGCTACTTTTTAAAATTTTCCCAGTGCACTATTAAATCATGTTGAGATTTTTTTCCAATTCAACCTTGTTTTTCTTTAGTACTTAAGACTAGTGTACAGCAGCACTTAGTCACCTTCAATGTATATTTAAATTGAATTGTCTTTTGAATTTCAGGAAGATGTGAAATTGCTCTCCCATCTACTCCAGGCTTTAGATTATGGGGCACCCCCTCATGGAGGAATTGCCTTAGGTAAACAACTTGTCCTTTTTGTAAACTAAATTGTATTCCATAGCACTGTCTCAAATTTGTAGTGGTAGAGAGGGGTGGGTGAGTCCAAGGATACTGTGAAAAGTTTGTTTCAATTTCAGTAATATTTTTTAAATACACACACACCTCACCTCTTGTAAAAACAAAACTTAAATGACAATTCACATTTGAAAGAGTTCTTTCAATAAAATAAAGCTTCAGTCTTTAAATCAGTATTGCTCAGATATTTGGAAGCATCATAGACACTCACTGGAGTCTGGTGTATGAAAAGAGGAATAATAGAACCATCTCTTCACATTACTGTGGTTATTCTTTGCTGCTTTTATCAAGCAGGAAGAATGAGTTCTAGGAAGCTCACCTAGATTGTAGCCCCCAACAAGGAGGACTTCCTTTTGTGTTTTTGGAGTTCCTATCTTGTTCAGTCTGTGGTAGGGCCTTTAGTAAGCCCTTGCTAAGGACTAATTACTGTGGCAGTTAGTCACAATAACATGTGAACATTAGTCCTGAGCACTCTTCCAGAATCAGACAGAAAAGAATCAAACAAAATTCTCTAAAAAGATAGGGAACTGAGTTTGGCTATAGCTTGTTAAAGATTCTTTTTTTTTTTTTTTTTGAATGGGGCAGGTGCTTGGCCTAGCAGGTAGGACTCTTTTGCAACCCATAGAGTACGTGGATTTGATTCCTAGCTCTGGCTCCTGACTCCATCTTCCTGCTAATGCAGACCTCGGGAGGCAGTAGTAATGGCTCAAGTAATAAGGCTCCTGCCACCCACATCAGAAACCCAGATTGAGTTCCTTGGCTGCCAACCAGGCCCAGGGCCATTACTGGTATTTGAGGAATGGACCATCAGATGGGAGTGCTTTCTCTCTGCATCTCAAATACAACCAAAAAATGTTTTAAAGTTCTCGCGACATTAAATTCCATTTCTCATCTGTTATCTGTTGTATTTTTATTTACAGGGTTAGACAGACTGATGTGCCTTGTCACTGGATCTCCAAGTATCAGAGATGTCATAGCCTTCCCAAAATCCTTTCGAGGACATGACCTCATGAGCAGTGCTCCAGACTGTGTCCCTCCCGAGGACCTGAAGCCCTACCACATCCAAGTCTCCTGGCCAGCAGACTCAGAATCAGAAAAGAATTCATTGAACCTCCATCAAGAAAGTTGAGCTTTGTGTTTTGTCCTCTTTACTTCTCCAAGATTAAAATTAGATCAGAGGTCTCCCAGAGATTGGAGTCAGGTCTTCAGGTGGAAGGAATCCAGACAATTCTTCACATTGAAGAAACAGAAGATGTCTAATTTTGACCTGACAACATGCATCAGTACCTTTTTTAATTTTTTGGTAGGGACTTCATCAAAGTTCCATTTTACTTGGAGAGTTGTGAAAGATGGTTCTTGGTTTGGGAAATATAATGGCTTAGCATTTTCTAATTATGTTTTTCATACCCAGGTATATTATTCACTTAAGACATCAACTAGTCAGTTGATGGAGGGTTCAGTTCACCCAGCTCCATCAATATAATCATATAAATTAAAAGCAACACAATACAAAACATATCACTGAATTGAGAGAAAATCTTGTTTCACCTTGATCTTGTTACACAAACCTCCCCCAGCCTCCCTTCCTGCTTTTGTGACATGCACTGAATACTTGCCCTGGCCACCTCACAGGGATTTTGTTGCCAGAATCAGGGTAGATAACATATGTACAAAATAATGTGAGTGAAAATGCTTTGAAAAACTATGTAAGATACTGTCCATCCATAAATAAATGCAGGTATGTTTTATAGAGATGAAACATCTATAAAGTTTTATGAATAAGTATTCTTTTTCATAAGCATTAATCCCTGAGTAATATTTTTTTCTGAATTGTAATTGAAAATACTAATTTACGTTCAACTAACCTCAAATATATTAAGGGAACACTTAAGCTCATTGGAACTTTGTAAGTTCTAATAGTGCAAGTAAAAACTGTTAATTAAAATGAGGAAAAAGGCCTTCGTGATTAATGAGTTTGAAAATTTTCCTGACCTTTACTTTTGCCTTGACATTCCCTTTGATTTATAAACACAAAATACCAGTTTTATACAAGCAGTCTTCAAAACATTCAAGAAAATGCACATTGTGACTTCAAAATTTTGTTGGCACCAAAATAAACACTCCATTTTCCGTGAACTTTTTAAAAATATCTTCATATCCCTGGTTCACCTCAATATACTATTTCTATCTGATACTAAAAACAGCTCACCTCCAGGTTTAATTTCTGATACTTTATAGGCTACACAGTATGCCCTGCCCTGCCAGAAGCAGCTGGTTTGCATTGGGTGGAGCTTCTCTAACTCCATCCTTTTACTAATTCCCTCATGTCTAAGCGTACTCTGGAGCCAGAACGTCTTTGCTGGCAGGGTTCCTGTGGGGATAAAGGCTGTCTAACTACAGAATTTCTAGACAGGTCCTTTACTGGGTAGGAAGATAATTTTCTGTCTATGCCACATGGCTAGTAGCCACTTTCTAAATACTATATAGTTGACTGTTTAGAACCTGTGACCAAAATACTTTATCCTGGAATCTTCATTTTGTAATTTACAAATACCAAAGGCTGTAGGTACCCAGGAATCCAGAGACCCCAGTCACTTCAGCCATTATTCAGCCTGTCTTCCGACCTGTCAAGAAAAACTTACTCTGCTGCATATGGAAATCTCACTATTCAAGACCAGCAAGGTGGGGTGACTTTAAAATCAAACTATTTACCAATAAAGGTGATGACAACCAGGTTTTTTACCATGCACAAACCTCATACACTGGAAACTGGGCTCATTTCAAACCCAATCTCCCCAGTCCCTAGGATTTATTCAGGATAGGCATCTGGCCCACCAGTTTAAGCAGCTGGCTAGGACGCCTGTGTCCCTCATTGGAGTAGCTGGGTTTGTCTTTGGGTTGTGGCTCCTGATACTAGCTCCCTAACAAATCCTGGGAGGCAGTAGCAATGGGTCAGTTGGCTTCTGCCACCGATGTGGAATACACAGATAGTCCCCAGTTTCTGCTCAGCCCACTCCTAACAGGAGTGAACCAGTGGGAGCATGCTCCGTTTTTTCTATGCTGCAAGTTTTAAAAACAAAATAAGCATTTGCCAGCCACAAACAGATCATTACAGCTTCAACAGATTGGCTATAGCAGACATTTGGCACAGTAGTTGCTTCTTGGGATACCCACATCCCACCTTGGGAGTGCTTGGGTTGAAGCCCTCATTGTAGCCAACTGCTAACACAGTCGGTGGAAGCAGTTACCACCTACACTGGTAAAAAGTGAACTCTGGGATCACGACAGCAAGGCCTAGTCCTGATGACCCATTTCTGACAGGCAGTTAGGCAGTTCCGTTGGTTCACCACCACCCCAAAATGGCTACTGTGGCCAGCATGCCATGCAGATCTGAAGCCAGGAGCCAGGTGCTTCCTCCTGGTCTTCCATGCAGGTTCAGGGCCCAAGGACCTGGGCCATCCTCCTCTGGAGCTGGCCTGGAAGAGGAGCAACCCGAACTAGAACCCAGGATGCCAGCGAGGAAGATTAGTGAGCTGCGGCGCCCCTCCGCTTTTCACCTAGAGCTTCTACTGCAGCCCAGGTGAATTGGCCTCTTCAACTCCTGCATCCACATTGGAGCTGCCTGGCATCCTATCCTGCTTAGGCACCTGAACCAGCAGACCTATTTGCTATTGAGTCAACATTTAGCTTGGAAGATGTGCCAAATGTTTTATGCTATCAAGTTGACTTGAATTCCCCTCTTTGCCACTCATGCCTAACTCATGCAAAGGCTGCTGTCAATGATAAATTCCAAGAACCACTTCAGAGCTAACCAAGTATGTATCTAAATATATAAACTCTAGTTATGTGGAATTCTCAAAACTTAGCAGACTCACGCTTTCAACTCCTCCACTTCTCTACCACTTTAAATGATTAATGACTTTAAGATTTACTAATTTACCTGAAAGGTAGTTTGAGGGATAAAGTTCCAAGTTAGTTCACTACCAAGTCAACAGCCAGGATAAGCCTGGCTGAATCAGCAGCCAGGAACCCCACGCCTTGGCCTCTTGCCTTCCAGCAGCTGTAGCACAGCAAGCTAAGCCTCTGCCTGCTCCTCTTTCCTCTGGGAAAGCAGTGCACCCACAGTGGGAGACAGATTCTCTCCCACTCTTGTCCCCAAACAAAAATGACATAGCTGTCACCTCAATAAGTAACTCAAGGAGGCACAACAGTGTGTTTTTGGACAGCATAGAAGATGCTGGTTCAGGTTCTGTATATCCCAAGTCAAGTGTTTGGCTTCCATTCTCAGGTCATGCTCCCAAGTCCTATCCATAGAGGCTAATAGTCTCTGGGCTGAAGCACCTTGGTCCCTCTACCTCTCATTTGAGACCCACATTGAGATCACCTCATGACAGATAAACTTTGCTCCCCCACCCTAATCAAACACATTACTCCAGATGGTTTGTAGAAATTTATTGATATTTCAGAGATGTTTCCTCTTCTATCCCATGAGCACCCAACCAGCTGCCTGCAACAAAGAGCACTTTTAGCCACATTACAAGATTTCAGATTAAATGACTACCGACAAACAGAATATCAGATCTGTTATTTTCAGCAGGTAATCAGTGAGAGAGTTCAAGTTGGGGTGAGATCATCATGTATTCTGGTGTTAAGAATGGTGCTGATATTTCTAATCCTCACCTTTCAAGAGGTGGCATGTCACTGCAGTCAGAGCCCTAAAAGCAAACACATATTAATGTATTAATAGAGATAAAAAAAAAAAACCTTTTTGTGCATGATTCTTGTTTATACAGTAACCTCAGAATCAAAATGGAACGGTTTTCAAGTGATATCATTCTTCTTCATTTGGCAGAATCATTACATCATTGGTTACATTTCAAGTTACCATTCAAATTATTAAAACTGACTTACCCTCATTTCCATGGTTAGAGCACAAGTTTCAGGACCTGTTTCAAAATAGAAAGATAAGTTTACCTTACTCAATTTTCCTAAAAGGTCACATTTTAACTTGACAACGGCTAGATCATTCCATATGGCACAATTTGCTGATTATTTTGTATATATTCCACCCAAAAAATTCTTCAAACTTCAACTAACCTGCGCCAAATGTCAATTCTTAATCCTGACAGTAAAATAAGACATTCAACCAACCCACTAGTGACACAAACCCTATGGTTTAGTAATGGCTAAATTCGTGTTTCAAACAAACTGGTAGCCGGATACATCAGATAGGAGCGAAAGACTTATACTGCTCATCAGTGACAGTCTGCTGAACTATGTTATCATCATCGTATCGGCTTTTAGACTACTTAACAGAACTGGAAGAATGCCATACCTTTGTCTCACGACTTCTTCCTTCAGACTGGAGCAAGCTGACACTTCACACCTGCAGAAATGTAGTTAAATTAGCAGTGGGCAGTAACTGACAGCTATCTGCAAGGTTTCTGCTACTGTTTCAGTTTAAAAGTAGTCTTCAGTCTCTTTCAGAGAGATTCCCATCTGTTTTAACTTAAAGTCATCACTAACAGCATCTTGCTCAAAGAAAATTTAACAGAAATAAAATGCGTACCTTTAAGCAAAAGGTCTCCAAACTCTGCACCTGAAAGTAAGTCATTTCTTTAGACATCATTTCCTAATGGCTGAATTCAGTTAAATGTCTACTACAGTACTTACACTGCTTCCCAAAAGCTTCAGTTCCCAGGAGTAAACAAGGCAACACTCACTGAATATAATAGCACTACATTTTGGGGCCAGCGCTGTGGCATAGTAGGTAAAGCCTCTGCCTATGGCACATCTCATATGGATGCTCCCCTTCTGATCTAGCTCCCTGGCTAATGTGCCTGGGAAAGCAAGCAAAGATGGCCCAAGTGCTGGGGTCCCTGTATCCATACGGGAGACCCACAAGCTCCTGTCTTCAGATTGGCACAGCCATGGCTGTTGCAGCATCTGGGGTTTTTATTGGTGGATAAAAGACCTCTGTCTCCCTTTCTGCTGACTCTGCTTCTCAAAAATTAAAATCCTTAAAAAAATTTCAGATAAGCTATGAGCATTCCTTACCCAGGCATCCATGGACAGTTAACAGGTAACCAGTTCCTAGAACAGAAACATAACTTTCATTAAAATGCTCAGTCTCCTTCAATTCTTCTCAGGCTCATCTGTTACAGGGTTCTTCAGTACAAATTTGTCCACATGCTCACTTCAGATCAGACATTTGATCAGCATCATTACAAAAACCCTGGCTCAGGGCATGCCCAAAGAACATTCCCAAGTCAAAAACAAGCTAGCAGCCCGGCAGTTAAGCATGATCACTTCAGTAACAGCTCACAGTCTACAGCTTTTCATTTAATACTCACCAAAAGAAGTAAAGGCAGGTTCAGAAGAGTTCAGGTCCCCACCTAAGAAGTAAGAGCGAGTTTCAGTGCCGTCAGGGCTAAGTATTCCTCACCCTGAAGCCGACAAATGCCAAGTCAGTTAGAGCTAATTACGACCCTCACATTCAGTCAGTATTTGCTTATCGTCATCCAGGCTGCATTTACAAAGGACAACCTCACTAACGGTAACTGGACACGAATCTAACGTTACTCCATCTACTGCCCATGCTAAGTGCTTCCTGTACCAAGCACACCCTTCAAACGCCATGTGGCTTTGTTTGTCCAGTTACCTGTTCCTACATAGATTCTACTTCCACTTACCATTTTCAACTTCCAACTTCCTTTATTGTGCCTGCAAAAGATTTTAAACAGATTTTAAACTTAGATTAGTGGTAAGTTGTTTATGCTATTAGCAGACACCAACATCTCCAGATACATCAGACTAATGACACGTCTCTTCAGAATGCAATCTGATGAACTATGCAACCATCATAGTATCTGTTTCACCCTCTGCTCCCTTCTACTGCGCATTACCAGGGTGAGCACCCCTCGTGTACAGCATCTATGTAGCCTGGCTATCTAATCCGGTAAAACACGGTGCAGACAGTATGGATTCAAACCACGCAAGGTTCCTCACCTGTGTGACCTCTGGTAGACTGAGGCTTGCTCTTCAAAATCTGGAAGAAACAGCCTCATTAACGTTAGCCACTCTCCGCATTTCCCACACCACTATTTTGTGTGCCTCAGTTACGGTAATGGTGGTTTAAGACTCTCGTCATACCGGCAGTCAAGAGTAGCAAATAAAATGTCATCATTGCGGCACACTCTCTGCTAACCTCTGAGGCAATGTCTGTTTGCTTACCTCCGTACTCCTTCCTCTCTGGCGCGGAACTAGGGAAAAAGAAAAACGGATACAAGGCGATGAGAAACCTCCTTATAACCCCTCCAAACACGCGACTGTTCGAACCAGCCTCAGAACGTCATTTTCAGAAATCCCTTCTGTCCACTACTCTTAAACCATCACAGGCTGATTTATAACAAAACCACCTCCACACGGAAGATCTCCCAACTCTCACCTCGTGCGTCAGGGGCCATCACGCGCCACACCGCATCCGTACGTGGCAGCATGCCTAAGGACAGAATCGGGCACGTGTTCAGAACGCGTCCATTGCCAGTCTGCACGCTGCTGACCGCACACTTCCCTGCCGCGATCCCCCTCCACGGCAGCGGAGGCTGCACCTCAGGAGTCGGGGCGCCAGCGACGACGCCGTGCGGAGCGCGGGCTCCCACGGGGGTCACGTGGGCTGCGCCGCCGGCCTGTCCCGAGCGACCGGCTACGCAACCCCGGCCACTCGGCGGGCTCGCGCGCGCCGCCATCAGAGCCGTTGGCATTCATCAGCGCTCTCAGATGTCCCTACCAACACAGACTTCATCAGAGGCGGCAGGCACGGCAGCCGAGGGCCGTCCGAGGCAGAGCAGGGCGCGCCCGCGCCCCACGCGCAATCCCCCCACACCCTCACCTCGTGGAGCGTACAGACGCACGCAACGAGCACACGAGTCTGGCCAGTTTGTGGCGACGCTAGTCACCAAGAGCTGGAGCCCACGGACCCTGGCCAAAACCCGCTGGAAGGCCGCACTCACCGAACGCCAGAGCCAACGCCAACGCCCAGCCCGGAAAGACTGAGATGGCGCCCGGCCGCCCGTATATAAGCGTTCCGTTCGGTGACGTCACGACGCACGCTCCCATCCTGCGTCGGCTCCGCCCCGCCTCCAGCCCCGCCTCCTGCCCGCCTCCCCGGCCCCGCCCAACCCCGCCGTCGAGGGCGGGGACGCCGCCCGAGGAGCAGGGCGCCCTCCCTCCTCCCGCCGGAGGGAGAGCCGAGAGGGGAGGGGGCGCGAGGGACGGCAGGCGCCGGGGAGGGGGCGGGGGCGGTGGAAGGGTGAGTGATTTCCTTCCGGCACGTCGCCCGCTCCGGGGGAGGGGGCGGGGGGTTTCACTTCCGGGACGGGGTTCCGGCCCATTCCGGCCCACTTCCACCCCCGGAGGTAGGTGCTGCTCCTCGCCGGGGCTCGGGCCCCGCCGCCGCCGCCCCGCCGCCGCCCCCCGGGGCCGCCTCGTCCCGCCCGCGCCGCGGAGCGCTCCCGGGCCCTCCGCCACCGCGCCTCACCTCCCCTCAGGCGCCGGGCGACCTCGCACCTCTCCGGCCCCGGGCCGGGCCGGGCTGCGGACCCGCCCCCTGTCGGCGCCCCTCCCTCAGGACCCCGGGATGGGCGGCCCCCTCCCCCACGGCGCCGCGACACACCCCGCCGCACACACCCACCTCGGGCGGCCGCCCCGGGGCCCGGCGCCGCCCCCTCCGCGCCCGGGGCTGCCCCGGGGTCCTGGGGGACGCCTCGGCCCACGCCTCCTGCCGCGGACGGTGGCCGCTCGAGCGCGGAGTGGCCAACCCCACGCCGTTCCCCGTTCTCCCTCTTGCAGCTCCCAGCCCTCCGGCGCGGACGGTGGAGACAGACTCTCCTCCAGGGGCTTCCTCCTCACTGGGGAGTTGCGGAAAGAGCAGACACAAAAGGCGCTGGTGTAGGCTCCAAAATAAACATCTGCATCCCTGATGGCATCGACCGAGGCTCTTACTGGATTAAAAGTTTCAAAACAAACAGTAACGCTTTGGAAAAAGGTCAGGTCGGCTGGAGTCGGTTCTTGAAAGCAACTTCCCTGGGTACTGGTCAGTGTGTTGTGGGTGCGGGGCGGTGCTGAGCTGTCAGGATGAGTCCCTGAAGTTCTGCGCGTTCCGTGAGACCTCACGGAGTGGCGGACCAGCAAGTGTCCGTTGCACTGAAGTCACCGTCTGCCCGTGGAGATTTAAACGGCTCCCCTTGCTGTTGAAGACTGTTGGCTGGAGGTACAGCCTTAATGTTCCAGCTGGTTTTTAATTAAAAAAAAAAAAAAACGAAAATTTTAAAGTAAAAATTGTGGCCACACACTTGGGAAATGCGCTGTTTTTCCTGTTCTGGTGAGCTAAATTTCCGAATCAGAGTATCACTACCCTGAAAGTATGGGTTTATCGCAACAGAGGCAGATTCAGCTGCCTTTTCCTAACCCTGAGAGTTGGACTTCTGTGTTTTCTGCACCTTGGTCGAGTCCTGACAGTCCTGTGCAGTGTTTCCTCACCTAGAGTTTGCTGCACAGTCATAAAGCGTTTTTGTGGGTGCTCTGACTCGGAAGAGGAGAAATATTGACCTGCATTCATGTGGCGTGTTAATTACTTTATAAAATAATATGCATGACTAATGCAGCATGTAGTGAAGTAGCAAGAGATGCCTCATGAACCCGTCAGTGTGTAACTGCATTTATTCCAAAGGCTTATTTCTTTTCTCCTCCAAAGAAAATTTGTAAAGTTGTCATGGGACTTTATGTTCAGTCCGCAAATATTACGATTAATGCTTTAAAACAAACAAGCAAAACCTGTCATCGGTGCTTCCCCCAACCTTGTCCTGCTGAACTTGCATTTTGATGTTTGTACCTTTTATTAAGAAAGTGTGGTCATTGCATGAATTTTTAGGAATCTATCATTTTTTGGTTTTAACGATCTTGCTATGAAATACAGATTTTAAAAGCTGTTGGAATTCTACTTCCACATTTCAGCATCAGGAAGATACTTGCTTTTATTTGGAGAGTTTGAAATTTTACCGAATAGTGCCGTGAGTATGTTTGAATTGGAAGAGCATTGAGGCAGTAAACGTGGAACTGCTCATGAAAACGTGGTTTCCTCTCTCAGCAGGGTTGAATGCCTGCCCTCACCTTCAGGCATGACCATGGAGAAAGGAGGGAACGTACAGTTGGAGATCCCTGACTTCAGCAACTCTGTCCTGAGCCATCTAAACCAGCTGCGCATGCAGGGCCGGCTCTGCGACATCGTGGTCAATGTGCAAGGACAGGCCTTCCGGGCTCACAAAGTGGTCCTGGCCGCCAGCTCCCCCTATTTCCGGGATCACATGTCCTTGAATGAAATGAGTACTGTCTCCCTCTCAGTCATCAAGAACCCTACTGTTTTTGAACAGCTCCTTTCATTCTGTTACACCGGGCGGATATGCCTGCAGTTGGCGGACATCATCAGCTACCTAACTGCTGCCAGTTTCCTGCAGATGCAGCATATCATAGACAAATGCACGCAGATCCTGGAGGGCATTCATTTCAAAATTAACGTGGCTGAGGTTGAAGCAGAATTAAGTCAAACAAGGACAAAGCATCAAGAGAGGCCTCCTGAGTCTCACAGGGTCACACCGAATCTGAACCGCTCCATGAGCCCCAGACATAATACCCCAAAGGGAAACCGGCGAGGCCAGGTCAGTGCCGTGCTGGATATCAGAGAGCTGAGTCCCCCTGGCGAGTCCACCAGTCCTCAGATAATTGAACAGAGTTCTGACGTAGAGAGCCGGGAACCCATTCTTCGGATCAACCGAGCAGGCCAGTGGTATGTGGAGACAGGGGTAGCAGACCGGGGCGGCCGGAGTGATGATGAAGTGAGGGTCCTTGGAGCAGTACACATCAAAACTGAAAATCTGGAGGAGTGGCTGGGGCCTGAGAATCAGCCTTCTGGAGAAGATGGAAGTAGCGCAGAGGAAGTCACAGCCATGGTGATCGACACCACAGGCCACGGTTCTGTAGGACAAGAAACTTACTCGTTAGGATCTTCAGGGGCCAAAGTAGCACGTCCAACCAGCAGTGAAGTTGACAGGTAAGTCTTGTTTTCCCATCTAATGGCTGATGCGCAGATGCTCCTGCAGTGGGCTCTCTGGTACAGGAAGCAAGTGATGCTGGGAAAACGGACGACGTGCCAGAAGATTGGGATCCTGATTTCTTTTTAAAGCAGGAAGTTCTCAGTCACGAAGTATTCAAGACATTGTAAGAAATGTTGTGAGGTTAGACATTTCCAAGAGTCCATAATAGCCAGGGCCTCCTCGGGGTTCCAGGCAGGGAGCTGGGGCCTGGCAGCCTCGCCTTCCATTGGCAGATTAACACATGGGTAGTGGCCTTGGGGACTTCCTTTGTAGCACTGTTTATTTTTTGTCTTCATCCACCAAATTAGAGAAAGTGTGACACCAAAAGTGATTGCTCTTTTCAAATTAGCAGAAACACAAGAATTCCAAATAAAGCTTTTTGAATGTTTTCCATTCTTTTTTTCACTTGTCATTTAATGATATTTTTCTTTGTTTCACTGGTTACTGCTGTCACCACAGGCCTGAAGAGTCTGTTTTTTATCTCCCCCACCAGTGCTGCTATGCCCTATGCCTCAATTTTCTCTTTCTGATGAATGGTATTTGCTAGAACATTTCTTTTTGGTGGAAATAGCAGTGGTTAGTGTTTTGTTTTTTAAGATTTATTTATTTGAAAGGCACAGTTACAGAAAGAGGGTGCAGGGTGGGTTATCTTCTGCTGCTTTCCCAGGCACCTTGTTAGGGAGCTGGATCAGAAGTGGAGCAGCCAGGACTCGAACCAGCACCCATATGGGGTGCAGGTGTTGCAGGTGGCAGCTTTACCCACTGTGCCACAACACTGGCCCCAAGCACTGGTTTTAATCTAACTAAGTTGAAAGAAAATCTCGATTGAAACAAATTTTACAAATTGAGACTGGTATTTATTACTTTGCCTTCTTGAAAATTAAACTTGTGTGAACAATGACAACTAAAGAAGCTACTACTTTGGTTTATAGCGGGTCCTGACAGATGTGTCACAACCACTTCAGTGATCTGGATTTGAGTTTCCTTATGTCCCTAATAGTTAAAGTAGTCTTGGACACAACACTTGTCCTCCTCTGTTAGAACTGTAACAGAATGAATATCATCTTAAATTGCAAAGATTTTCCACTCCATGCCGTATACCAACAGTCTGAAATATCTAACAGATTATCATGGTGCCTGTGAAGTAGGCAGGTATACAGGTTAAGACCACGCCTTTGTCACGCCCCTGTGTGACCTCATTCCCCTACCTGGCCACACCTGGGTGCCACCAGCCAGTCAGGTTAATTAACCACTCCCCTTTGGAAGTGGGTTAAAAGCCGGGACACGGTGTGGCCTAAGGGCTCTTTTTCCCTGGTCTCTTGCTAGGAAGGGGGCTTGCTGTAGCCCCGCGCCTCCAGGGCGCATGGCCTTTGGGCCACATGCTCTTCCACATGGCTGGTTCCTGGTGCTCGGTATGAACCCCCATTCACCTCTCTCTCTTAAATGGAGCTCTCACTCTCCTATGCATCTTTCTCACTAAATAAAAGCTTAAAACGTACCATGCTGCCTCGTTTATCTGTGCCGGTATTTAGAATTCTTCTCTAAATATTAGGCAAGAACCCTCTTGGGCTTATTAATATCAGGGATTTAGTAATAAGCCCATGGTGAAATCATATGGCACCCCAAATTCCGGTAGAACATGTGGTACCCCAGATAGCACTGCTGGGGAACTTTAAGGGGCCACATTTTAGTGTAAAATTTTAGGGGGTCTTTTCCGATTTCACTTGGAAGGAAGAACATCCAAATACTTAATTATTACCTAGAAACAAAATTATAAACCCAGTGTTAATTTATTCTTTTAAGGTGTCCCAGTACTTTCGTAAAGGTGGAAAAAGCATATTTAGCTTTAGCTTCACAGCTCATATGGTATGTCTGCTGTGGCATTTTGTGTTTCTTAAATTTACTAGGGCAAACCTTTCCTTTTTTTTTTTTTTTTTTAAGAATTATTTTATTTATTTGAAAGAGTTACAGAGAGAGGTAGAGCCAGAGAGAGAGAGAGGTCCTCCATTCCGCTGGTTCACTCCACAAATGACCACAACGGCCAGAGCTGAGCTAATCCAGAGCCAGGAGCCAGGCGTGTTAGGCCTTCACAAAACACACCAAACACCGGAGTAAGGGAAAGGTTTACTGGGGAAAACCCAGCAGACCAGAGGGAAGGGGCGAAGAGGGAAAAGGAGAGTAAGAGAGAAAGGAGAGAGGGGAGAGCAGACAAGAGGAGCCAAGAGAGCCACGTGTTCAGGAAGAGGTCCTTTTACAACTTTGTGGGCAGGGAAGCAGGAGCAGGGAATCCCATTAGGATGGGGGTGGAGCTTGACCACGGCTTCCAGCAATGGCGGCGGGAGCCAGGGCATAGGATGTAAATCGCGCCATAGATAAAACTGCACCATTTTCCTAACAAGGAGCCTCTTCCGAGTCTCCCACACAGATACAGGGGCCCAAGCGCTCGGGTCATCTTCCGCTGCTTTCCCAGGCCAAAGCAGAGAGCTGGATCGGAAGAGGAACAGATGGGACTCAAACCAGTGCCCACATGGGATGCCAGGCTGGGGCTTCAACCCACTGCTCCACAGTGCCAACCCCAGTGCAAACCTTGCTTGCCTTATTTCAAGGCAAAGTGTATATTGATTTGGTTTGGTTTCTTCCTTCTCCTTCAACTATGATAAAGAGGGGAGATGTCACCATCTGCTAAGTTCTTTGAAACCACTTTCCTACTAATCTCTTTATGTTCTTCTTCCAACAGATTTAGCCCCTCTGGCAGCGTGGTTCCCTTGACGGAGAGACATAGAGCCCGCAGTGAATCTCCTGGGAGAATGGATGAGCCTAAGCAACTCAGCTCCCAGGTATGTACTTACAGATCTAGGATTGCTGTGGTGGTCGGAAGAATTGCCACTGTGTCTGAACAAAACATAATCAGAAATGGAAGATGTAGAATAAATAACAGTGACTCCGTTAAAGAACGCTGTATTTGATTACTTCTTTCTTTATTCTTGTTTGTAAGTGTACAGGAAATATACATTTGCTGTCTGCAGGGTTTGGAAGACAGAAAAAGATAACAAGATTGTGGAATTCCTTCCTGATTACAGGGAACAGTCTGTAGGCCTGTAGTGATAAAATTAATCCCTGAAAGCCGTATGTAGGAATTTAGGACCTAGAACAGAGACTCTGATTTTATATGTGTGTGGATTTAATATTATATATACACATTTAAAACTAATTTTATAATATATCTTTGTACACAGATTGCTTATGCATTGAATGTGTATGTATTTTCTATTTTATATGCTTGTATATTTTCCTTTTTTCTTTTAAGATTTACTTATTTGACAGGCAGAGTGACAGAGACAGTCTGCATCCACTCATTCACTCCCCAACTGGTCACATGGCCAGGGCTGGTCTGGCTAAAGCCAGGAGCACAGAATCCATCCAGGTATCCCACATATGTGGCAGGGGCCCAAGTCTCTGAGCGTCCTCTGCTACTGTCCCAGGCACATTAGCAGTGAGCTGGATCAGCAGCAAAGCAGTCAGGACTCGAACCAGCACTGATATGGGATGCTGGCACTGCAGGTGGCGCCTGAACTCACTGTGCCACACACAGTCGCTTCATTTGTGTGCTTCCTACATCTTGTTAGACTGCAATGCCTTAGGAAGGCTAGGAATGCCATCTTGATGTCTTCTGTTTTCTTTGCAACTCTTCCTTACAAATTAGTATAAGTAGATAGCTGATGTCTTTTGTTTGTTCTCACTGGCCTATTTCACTGAAGATTGTTTATTTTTTAAAGATGAACTCACCAAGTAAACAACAAATTAAAAACTTAGCCAAGATTCATTTATTTATTTGAAAGTCGGAGTGACAGAGGCAGAGAAAGAGAGATCTTCCATTTGCTGATTTACTCCCCAACAACCAGGACTGGGCCAGACTAAAGTCTGGGTCAGGAACTCCATCTGGGTCTCTCACGTGGGTGGCAGGAATCTAAGTACTTGAGACATCATCTTGCTGCTTCCCAGGTACATTAGAAAGCTAGATGGTGGGGAGGGGAGCGCAGCAGTGCTGTGGCACAGCAGATAGAGCTACATCCATATGGGCACCCTTATGGGTACCGATTCAAGTCCCAGTTGCTCCAATTCTACCCAGCTTCCTGCTAATGGCCTGGGAAAGCAGTGGGAGATATCCCAAGTGCTTGGGCCCCTGCACCCACATAGGAGACCCAGAAGAAGCTCCTGGCTCCTGGCTTCAGCCTGGCCCAGGCCTGGCTGTTGCAGCCATTTGGGGAGTGAGCCAGAAGATGGAAGATCTCTTTCTCTCTCTCTCCTTCTCTCTCTGTATCTCTGTCTTTCAAATAAATAAATAAATCTTTAAAAGAAAGAAAGCTAGATGGAAATGTAGGTGTAATTTAATCCCAGGCATTCCAGTATGGGATGCAGACATCCTAAGCAACAGCTTAACCAGCTGTACCACAGCATTTACCCTTACTCCTAACTTTCAAAAATCAAAATAAACACTTCTGCAAGGAAATGCTTGTGGATTAAGATTGCATATTTGTTCAGTTGGTGTACTGTACTGATAGTGTCATTGTTATCTAAACCATTGAAAGTTTGTTATGTACATGGAACAGTAATAGCAAGATGTTGCTATAAACTATTTTTAGTGCTTTTTTTTAAGATGTGTTTATTTGGGGCTGACGCCATGGCTCACTTGGTTAATCCTCTGCCTGCGGCGCCAGCATCCCATATGGATGCCAGTTCTAGTCCCAGTTGCTCCTCTTCCAGTCCAGCTCTCTGCTGTGGCCCGGGAAGGCAGTGGAGGATGGCCCTAGTGCTTGGGCCCTGCACCCGCATAGGAGACCAGGAAGAAGCACCTGGCTCCTGGCTTCGAATCGGCGCAGCGCCGGCCGTAGTGACCATTTGGGGAGTGAACCAACGGAAGGAAGACCTTTCTCTGTCTCTCTCTCTCTCACTGTCTATAACTCTACCTGTCAAATAAAAAAAAATGTTTTTATTGGCGGAATGACACAGAGAGATCTCCCATTCATTGTTTAATTCCCCAAATGCTCATGACAACCAGAGCAGGGCCAGGAACTCCATCTAGGTCTTCCACATGGGTGGCAGAACCCAAGTAATTCCTTGCCTCCAAAGCACATTAACAGAAAGATGGACCAGAATCAAGTAGCTGGCCTATATGGGATGTAGGTGTCTTGAGCTGCAGCTTAACACCCTGTGCCACAGCAGCCACCCAAATTCTTCATTTTGGGTGTTTTGTTTTTAAGATATGTTTATTTATTTATTTATTTGAGTGCCAGAGTTGCAAAGGGAGAGACAGAGAGAGGTCTTCTTTTTTTTTTTTTTTTTTTTTTTTTTTTTTAATTTATTTGACAGGTAGAGTTACAGATAGTGAGAGAGAGAGAGACAGAGAGAAAGGAGGAGAGAAAGGTCTTCCCTCCGTTGGCTCACTCTCCATAATGGCCGCAACGGCCGGCGCTGTGCCGATCCGAAGCCAGGACCTAGGAGCTTCTTCCTGGTCTCCCATTCGGGTGCAGGGCCCAAGCACTTGGGCCATCCTCCACTGCCTTCCCGGGCCACAGCAGAGAGCTGGACTGGAAGAGGGGCAACTGGGACTAGAACACGAACCCTAGTGTGCCACGGCGCCAGCCACAGAGAGAGGTCTTCTACCTGTTGATTCACTCCCCAAATGGCTACAACAGCCGGAGCTGAGCTGATCCGAAGCCAGGATCCAGGAGAGTTTTCTGGGTCTTCCATATGGGTGCGTGAGGCCCAAACACTTGGACTGTTTTCCATTGCTTTCCCAGGCACATGAGCAGGGAGCTGGAACAGAAGTGGTGCAGCTAGGACTTGGAGCCGTCATCCATATGGGTTGCTGGCACTGCAACCGCAGTTTAACCTGCTGTGCCACAGCACCAGCCCTAAAAGTTTTTTTTTGTTTTTGTTTTGTTTTTGTTTTTGTTTTTTATTAGAATTCAGTGAGAATGCTTATCTGGCTAAAACAAAAGGTACAGCATGTAGACAAAAGAGATAATGTTGTCTGGGGATGGTACTGAGCATGAGAAAACCTTAACATAAGTGAAAGTTTATTCTGGTGAGTCTACTCACCAGTTTTTTTTTTTTTTTTTTTTTTTTTTTTTTTTTTTTTTTTTTGCCACAGAGAGCCAAAACATGGCAAGGACTTACATTACAGTAAGAATAACTTTTGATAGATAGACTTGTAAGCTGGAACAGACTACTAAAGTCACTCCTGTACTCGGAAGTAACTCTGAAGCTTTTTCTGGTTTCTACCAAATGAAGGTTACAATGCTTGGTCTAATTTTCTAAGCAGTTTATACTGTAACCTGACTTTTCCCACCTCTCATCAGCATTTACTGTCTGTCTCAAATAAGTGGTCTTTCTCCGGATCAGAGCCACAACAAACTTAATCCTCTCTGTGTGCCTTGAATCTGAGGTGCCTCTCACTCCCAGTTGTCTGGATCCATTCAAGTCCTAAATTCTTATTCCTTCTGCTCTAACCCAGTAATTTCTTTTTTCCATTGTATTTGAAAGGCAGAAAAAACATCTTCGGTCTGCTGGCTTACTCCCCAAATACCAGCAAGAGCCAGGGTTAAGCCAGGTCAAACCCAGAACTCAGACCAAGTCTCCCACATGCATGGCAGGGAACCAAGTGCTTGAGACATCATCTGCTGCCCTCCCAAGGATGCACGTTAGTAGGAAACTGGATTAGAAGCAGAGTAGCCTGGACTCAGCCCAGGCTCTCAATATGGGATTCAGGTGTACATTGTACCAGACACTCACCCTAGCCCAGTATTCTTTGACCTTTCCTTCTTAAACCTCTATTACTGTATTTACAGAGGTGCAATGTAATTTTCCTAATTTTCTGCTGACTCATAAGGTGAGCCTTTTTTATGTGCACTAATTTTGTGTCTCCAATGAAATCGAAATCTCCATGAGAGCAAGTTTTGTAATCTTTGTAATCTCTTACACTGTTTTATCAGACACTCAATATGAGTTTTACCCATAACTACAGTCATGCTTCACTGTTTGGAGAAATGTGTCATTAGGTAATTTCATCGTGTGAACATCAGAGAATGTACTTAGTCAAACAGATGACTACAACATCATCAGGTGATTAGACCTTATAGGACCACCATTGTATATGCAGTCCATCATTGACGAAAATGTTATGGAGGATGTGACTTTAATTCTGTTACTGTAGTTATTTATTAAGGATCCAGTAAGTGGCCATTTAACTGAATAGAGGATTATATTGTTGCTTATGAAATGCTCAGCTTTACAGATCTTTAGCACTAATATACCAAGGATTTTTGACACCCCTTCAATTCCTTTCTTTTTAAAACTCTTTTTAAAGTTTTTTTTTTCCTTTCTGAAAAAGTTACAGAGAGAAGGAGAGACAGAGAGCTCTTCCATCCTAGAATTCACTCCCCAGATGGCTGTAACAACTAGAGCTGGGCCAGGACTGAAGCCAGGAGCCAGGAGATTCTTCTGGGTCTCCCATATGGGTGCAGGGACCCAAGAACTTGGGCCATCTGATGCTGCTTTCCCAGGTGCACTAGCAAGGAGCTGGATCAGAAGTGGAGCAGCCAGGACCTGCACTGTGGCAGCAGGTTAATCCTCTGCTTGTGGCACCAGCATCCTATATGGGCACTGGTTCAAGTCTCGGCTGCTCCTCTTCCGATCCAGCTCTCTGCTGTGGCCTGGGAAAGCAGTAGAAGATGGCCCAAGTGCTCGGGCCCCCACACCAATGCAGGAGACCCAGAAGAAGCTTCTGGCTCCTAGCTTCAGACCAGTGCAGCTCCGACCATTGCGGCCATCTGGG